TGAAGACATTCTTATGCTAAGTGTAATAAATCAATCATAAAATGACAAAATACCTTATGGTTGTACTTAAGTAATATACCTAAATAGTCAAAACCTAAGAAAGTAAAATGTTGTTAGCTGGGGCCTGGAGAAAGGGAAAATCCAGTTGTTCGTTAAGAATAGAGTTTCAGTTTTGCAAGGTTAAAATTATCTAGAAATCTTTTGTACAATAATAGTGTAAATGTAGTTAACACTGTTGTACACTAGAAATGATTAAGATAGTTTTTTTTTTTTTTTAAGTCGGAGAAAGGGAGGGATGGAGAAAAAGAAAGATCTTTCATCCCTCGGTTCACTCCCCGAATGGCTGCAGTGGCCAGGGCTGGGCCAGATTGAAGCCAAGAATCATGTTTACCACAAGGGTACTGGGGCTCAAGTACCTGGGCAGCCTTCATCTGTTTTGCTAGGTACATTAACAGGAAACTAGATTAAATGTAAAGTAGCCAGGATATGAACAGGTTGGATGCCAGCATATAGAATATAGAATAACCCACGATTCTACAACACTGGCTCCAAAATGATAAATTCTGTGTGTTCTTAAATATATTAAAGCAGAAAAACTTTCTTGGGGCCAACATTGTGGTCAGGCAAGTTGCGCTGCCACCTGCAGAGATAGCATCATTTGAGTGCCCATTCAAATCCTAGCCTCCCCACTCTCTGTCCAGCTCCCTGCTAGTGTGCTTGGAAAAACAGCACAAGATGGCCAAAGTGCATGTACATGTAAGGCCTGAAGCCCCTGCCTCCTAACTTCAGGCTGAATCAGCTGGCTGTTGTGGCCATTTGAAGAATGAACTAGAGGATAGAAACCTTTTTCTCTGTGTCTCCTTCCTCTATAACTCTGCCTTTCAAAAAAAAAAAAAACATCTTTTAAATAGAAGTTCTACCTGCTAAAGCCCTATGTAATCTTGTTTTGCTTATATTCTTTCGACTTCATCATGCAATACTTTTTTCTTGTCTATTACTGTCCACATAGCCTCCTTTCTGTTCCTCAAATTCACTAAGGCTTTCCACCTCATCTTGGAATGCTTTTCTCTTTGACTTTTACCAGGTTGGCTCCATCTTGTTTTCAGATCTTCGCTGAATATTAACTTCTTACACCCTGGGTAGCAAGGGAGGGCTGGTGTTTTGTTCAGCATTTAAGGCACCCTTTGGACACCCACATTCCGTAATGGAGTGCCTGAGTTCAAGTCCCAGCACCTTTTCCAGCCTAGGCTTCCCGCTGTGCACATGCTAATAGGCTTTAGCTGACAGACTGAGTAGTCAACCCCTTGCCCTCATGGTGAGAGATCAAGACTGGTGGTCAGGCTCTTGGCTTCAGCCTGTCCCAGGTCAAGCTGTTGTAGGCATTTAGGGAATAAACCAGTAGATGGAAGATTTCTCTCCATCTGTTTGCCTCCCTGTCTTTGGAATAAAATGAAAAGAAATAAAGAATTTTAAAAATTGATAAGCTGTCTAAAAACAAATTTTTTCCTAACTAATCTCTACGTGCCACCAGTGATCATGTTACTGTATTAAAATTTTCCATGTAGCACTTTTCACTTTTTTTTTTCTTTCCCCTCTTCATTTATGGCTTGCCTCTTCATGTAAGAATTTAAGTTATGAAATATCGGGTACCTTGTCTATTTTGTCAGCCACCACTGACTTTCTAACAAAAATAAAGTCAATCTTTAAAAAAAAAAAAGACAGCAGCTAGATTTTGAATTGGAGCCTAATGGGATGCTGGCACTGCAGGTGGCGGCTTACCTCACTGTGCCACACGGCCAGCCCTGTCCCCAGCCTAATAAATCCTGGTTAGATTTCCAGCCTAACCCTTCACTAGCTCTCAGCAGCACTGCACTCTGACACCCTGGCCTTGTCTATCTCATAGTCCTCTCCCTGTGCACCTTTATAAAGCATTTCCTCTGACTAGAGCGCATATCTGCTCACTCTCTCTCTGCCTTTTATATAAATATCTTTAAAATTAAAACTTGTACCATTGACTCATTGTATCACTATTAACTGTTCTTTATTATGGTGAAATGTGTATATATAGAATATGAACTTTATCATTTTAACCATTTTTAAGTGGCACTAATTAGGTTCATATTGTACATCTATCACTATCTTCTCTTACTGTGTTACATTTTTAAAATTTTTTATTTTTGATGATGTTTATATAGCATTAGTTTTTTAAAAAGATTTATTTGTTTTTGTTTGAAAGGCAGATTTACAGAGAGGAGGGGCAACAGAGAAAGTCTTCCATCCACTGGCTCACTCCCCAAATGACTGTAACTGCTAGAACTGAGTTGCTCTGAAGCCAAAAGAGTCTGTGTCTCCCATGGGGGTGCAGGGTCCCAAGGCTTTGGGCCATCTTTTACTGCTTTCCAGGCCACAAACAGGGAGCTGGATGGGAAGTAGAGAGGTAGGACATGAATTCGTGCCCATATGGGATGCTGGCACTGCAAGCTGGAGGATTAACCTGTTAAGCCAGCCTCTTCAGTAATTATTTATTGATCTGGAAATCTCTAGATTGTAAACAAAATCTTGTCTTCATTTGTAAGTGCTTGAACTCACATGAGTGAACTTGCACAAAGTCTGATGATCTCCTTTACATGTGCTGGATAACATGCCATGTCACCAGCATTTGTATGTTCCTGCTCAGGTAACTTTGGGAATAGCTTTAGTTGCCTTCTTTGTAGTTTTTTTTTTTCAAAATAACAATCCAAAGTCCTTTTTTCTGAAGACTGTTTTTTAATGTCTTAGCAATATTTACACAGTGAATATGCCAATGAAGTAAAAGCATATTGTGTTATATGATTTAGGCACATTTCAGGATTTCAGGACCTGGATAACCTCAAAGCACAGGATGAAACCTCAACAGAATAACATTGCTTTTTCTTCCTGTTACAGTTTGGATAATTTTGCTGTATTTTATACTTCTTTTTGCACTATTTTCTATGATTGTGATGTCTGATAAACCCTCAACAAACTATGCTTTAATTGCTGTTCACTTTTCTCCAGATATCAGTTTAGAACTGTCTTTTTCCAACATGCTCTTTTCCTTCCTTTTAAAATCAAATTTGCATATATATTTTAAAAATTTATTCATTTTTATTAGAAAGGCAGATGTACAGAGAGAGGGAGATACAGAGAGAAAGATATTCCATCCACTGGTTCACTCCCCCAGTGGCCACAACAGGCAGAACTGAACCGATTTTAAGCCAGGAGCCAGGAGCTTCTTCCAGGTCTTCCATGCAGGTGCAGGGTCCCAAGGCTTTGGGCCATCCTCGACTGCTTTCCCAGGCCACAAGCAGGGAGCTGGATGGGAAGTGGAGCAGCCAGGATTAGAACTGGAACCCATAGAGGAGCCTGGCACCTGCAAGGGGAGGGCTTTAGCCTAGTGGCTACTGCTGCAGGCCCATCTGCATACATTTTAAAACATGATGGAATTTGAGAGTTGGGACCCTTTTCTCATCTAATACTCACTTTGCAGATAAATAAAGACCAGTTAATGCCAGAGAGCTTTCAGTTAGCAAATGACAGAAGAGTCTGTGACTCAAGGAAGCATGGTGTGCCTGTTGGTGCTGTCAGTGAAAGGGAAACGCTTCTCCTCCTCTCTGATCAGAAGGATCTTGTGTTATCACCGGGGGTGCACTGGGAGCTAGAGATTGACGACCCTAAAAATCCACATTTGTTTTTTGCCCCGTCAGAGAGTGGAAGAAACTGTTTTGGACTAACAAACATGCTGGACTAGCAATATACAAGCATTTTGATCAACAGTGGGCAAGGACTAAGCTGAATCTTGTCTAGTGAGTGTTTGGGGGAATAATGGAAGGAAGTGACTAACTTTAGAGCTAATTTCACATGCAAAAGGATGGGCTTTGGTCCCCATCCAACATTATAAATATTTGCCTACTCAGATGTCAGAAGCAAGATGACATCATGGAGAAGTTATGTTCCCTCCCTGTTCCTTGCTAGTCTTTATCCACTGTAAACAGGATCTGAGAAATCAAGTTACAGGAATGAGCACATAATAGGTTTTCTACAGAATATGTGTGTTGTCTTATATAGGTATAAAAATGATGAAGGCAATTGACTATGAATGTTTATTAGTTCTGCATTGCATTAAACACATTTGGAAAGAGTTTGTTTTTTCTCCCTGATTTGTATAACTTGGTCCCTTTCTTTGCCACTTTATAAGGTGCCCTAGCTTTGTAGGTTAAGTCTCCACCTGCAGTGCTAGCATCCCATGTGGCTACTGGCTCAGGTTCCAGCTGCTGCATTTCTGATTCAGCTCTCTGCCAGTGTGCCTGGAAAGGCAGCTAATGATGGCCCAGATCCTTGAGCTCCTGCACCCACTTGAGAGACCCAGAAGATGCTTCAGGCTCCTGGCTTCAGATTGGCCCAGTTCTAGTTGTTGTGGACATTAACCAGCAGATGAAAAAACATTCAATGTCCTTGTCTCTCTGTACATCTGCCTTTCAAATAAAAATATATCAGCCTTTACAAAAGAGAGAAAGTAATAGGTCCTTAATAATGATCAGAATGAATGTATTTCACAACTTGATAAAATGCTGTATACCCTTAATTTTCATTGTTACAAATTTAGCTGCTTTGTGGCTCACTTCTCACATAACCAAAATAGGCACAGTAATAATACACACATTATATTTGTTGTAACAATTAAATGTTATTGCACAGAAACTATTAGAACACTCTGGCATGTAGAAAATATTCAAATATACAGCTGTTATTATTAACCAATCTATGTAGATCATCTTACTAAGTATATTTATATATATATTTCTTTTTAATTTATAATCTTTCCAAATTTCCTCTATAAGTCAAGGGACCTCTACAACTTCAAACAACTTAAAGAAGAAAATTTACACTTGCAAGGATGGCTGATGTCGTTTCTCCAGTCTTTCTGAGGGTAGAATTATTTCCCTTCTTCAAGTAGACTCATTTTTCCATTCATTTTGTAGGTGGCATGCAAGATTACAATTATGTCTGGGCCAACTGTTTTGAGATCACATTAGAGCTATCTTGTTGCAAGTACCCACCAGCTTCACAACTTCGACAAGAATGGGAAAATAATCGGGAATCTTTGATCACCTTGATCGAAAAGGTAAAGTCACTAGCTGGAATAATGGATTAAGCAAGGGGGATATTATATTCGTTTTTTTTTTTTTTAAATGAAGATGTTAACGTCATCTATTAGAACATTTAGCTTTACTCTGCACATGGGCTTTTCTCCATTGGGCTCCCTTTGCCAGCCCTGGAACACTTTCAAACTGAAGTGAGTAGCCAAATTTGTACTACCAGATGGCTACAATGTCATGTGGTTGTAGTTGGTACAGAGCCTTTTATGTAGACAGTGGACACAGCATCAGACAGACTGGTCCAACAATTTGAGTATCCTAGAAATTATACTTTGTTGAAAAAATCAGAAGTCTGGCTTTGAGGTCACAAAGTTAACAGAGAAAGAGAGAGAGTAAAAAAAAGTAGTCTTCAATTGATTTTCCATCCACTGTTTCACCCCCCAAATGGCCACAACAACCAGGGCCAAGCAGGCCAAAGCCAAGAGCTGTTTTTAAATCTCCCATGTGGGTGCAGGGACCCAAAGCAATCTTTCATTGCTTTTGCAAAAGCATTAGCCTAGAACTGGAACACAAGTAAATCAACAGAGACTTGAATTGTCATTCTTGTGAGATATAAACATCACAAGTGGTAGTTTAACTCACTGCACCATAATATGTTAAGGATAGGGAATCTTTTTTTTCTAGATTTATTTATTTTCACTGGAAAAGCAGATCCACAGAAATTGAAGGAGAGACAGAGAAAAAGATCTCCCATATGCTGGTTCACTCTCCAAAGGACTTCAACAGTTGAATCTGAGTCAATCCAAAACCAGGTGTCTCCCTAGGGGTTCCCATATGGGTACAGGGTCCCGAGGACTTGGGCCATCTTCCGCTGTTTTCTTCGAGCATGGGCAGGGAGCTGGATGGGGGAAGTAGAGCAGCCAGGACATGAACCAATGCCCAAATGGGATACCAACTCTTGAAGGTGGAGAATTAGCTTGTTGAACTATTATGTCAGCCCCCAAAACAGGGAGTTTCAGAAGCACCTTGCTAGTGTAGAATTCAGACAGAGAGGACTTAAGTTTAAGAATTTAATATTCTCACACAAGAATCTGGTCTGGGATCACTTCAGACGAGGTTTCTTTGGGGATCCCCCAAACGAACTGTGGATCTCAGAACCCCAACCATGAAGAGAATTGCAGGTCACATGGTCTGACCATGGAGTGCATGTGTCAAAGCTGAGTCTCCTCAGTGGCTCAGATGGAGAAGTGGACAGCATATCCAGGTGCACATGGAGGATATGGTAGTACATTGGAGCCTGCATAGGACACCTGGTACTACAACAGAGGACAGAACAAATCAATCAATTACCCCAGCAAAGACTTGGCAGTGAAAATCTGGGCAAGTGGAGACTCTAAGGTGGACTATGTCAGCCAATGGATTCTGGAGAGATTTCATTGTGCTTGGAATGACAAGATTGGCAGCAATTCAGAACAGTTGAACTATCAAAACCACTTGAGCAGTGCCCTAGGAACATGCCCTACATGGGGACCCTGGAATGGTGGGGAGGGTGGGTGTGGCTTTACCTTTGCCTCTCCCCTTCCCCCAGATACAGGAAGGAAAAAAGAGAATGTGGAAACAATGTTCTTACCCACTTTCCTATAGCCCTTGACCCTTTGAGCCCTAATCAACTATGTAAAGATCAGCAAAATTAAAAAAATAATAATAAAATAAAAAGTAACCAGAAAAATAATTTAATATTCTTATATATATTTCAATTCAACTTCATGAGATTGACAGATGATTTAGGAAGATGAGATGGAGGGGTAAGCTTATTCATAAAACTTCTAGCATCAGTGCCCAACAAAGTTACACTATTCTGCCTTCCAAGTGGGTGTTTTTTTGTCTCTCTGTTCATTTAGGTTCACATTGGAATTAAAGGATTTGTTAAAGATTCAGTAACAGGTTCTGGTTTGGAGAATGCAACCATCTCAGTAGCTGGTATTAATCATAATATCACAACAGGCAGATTTGGTGATTTCCACAGATTACTTGTTCCTGGAACTTACAACCTCACAGCAGTTTTAACTGGGTAAGAATTGAAACTTTTAATTAAATTGTCAAGCCTCTGTAGTATATCTAAGAAATGTAGTCCAGTAAATGTTACTCACTCCCTTTAACTTTTATTTTTCTCCTTTGAATCCTGAGAATATTATTGTGTAGTTTGTCACATGATCCAATAGTACAATGTATGCAAAGCTTGAAAAGATGTCAAGCTGTAAAATGTTTTCTGATGGTTCATTGAATATCAGAGTGTAAGAAACCCAGGACTATGTAAACGACATTTTGAAGTATTATCTTGTCATCAGGTTTCTGATATATTAAATCACTGACTTCCCACCTCCCCTGGAAGCCCTTTGATAGGGATTCATTGGTAAATTTCCATGTAATTTTGAATATTCCTGAAAGAAGTAGGAATGTTAATTTGATAAGACTGCAAAAAGTTTAATGGAATAACAACCTAAATCTTTTAGTGTATTCTTAATTTATAAAAGCATTATAAAGTGTGGCACAAGTAGAGAATTCTTTAGATTTAATTTGTAAATCTCTGTGATGTATCATCCTAAAATTTTTAAATCTGCATTTCTGTGTTTAGTTTGCCTATTGGTAAATCACTATGATAAACAATATGAAAGAGAAAAAGAGGCTACTTTTATGGTATTAAAAGCAATGTGTTTCTTAACATCAAGCCATCTGCCTTGTCAAATATTTTTCTCAGATATATGCCGCTGACTATTAATAACATAGTGGTGAGAGAAGGACCAGCCACAGAAGTGGATTTTTCCCTTCGGCCTACTGTGGCTTCAGGAAACCTTGACACAGCCGAGGCTGTAGCAACTGTTAGTACAGTTGCTGCACCTAATATTCCTCCTGGAACATCACCTTCCCACCAGCCAATTCAGCCAAAGGACTTCCGCCATCACCATTTTCCCGATATGGAAATCTTTTTGAGAAGATTTGCCAATGAGTATCCTAATATCACTCGACTTTATTCGTTGGGAAAATCAGTAGAATCAAGAGAACTTTATGTGATGGAGATATCAGACAATCCAGGTGTACATGAACCAGGTAATTGGTACAGTTTCACATATAATATCAGTAGCACCTTTCAGAATTGTATCTTTTTTGCCATGTTACCATCTTGAAAGGTTACCTGTATGTATTTTTTTTTTTTTTTTTTTTTTAAAGATTTATTTTTATTATTTTTTCATTGGAAAGGCGGATATACAGAGAGGAGAGACAGAGAGGAAGATCTTCCATCCGATGATTCACTCCCCAAGTGAGCCGCAACGGGTCGATACTATGCCGATCCGAAGCCAGGAGCCTCTTCCGGGTCTCCCACGCGGGTGCAGGGTCCCAAAGCTTTGGGCCGTCCTCAACTGCCTTCCCAGGCCACAGGCAGGGAGCTGGAAGGGAAGCGGGGCTGCCGGGACTAGAACCGGCGCCCATATGGGATCCCGGGCGTGCAAGGCGAGGACTTAACCACTTGCGCCACCGCGCCGGGCCCTACCTGTATGTATTTTAAAAAAGAAATTAAACTGTAAATGTAACCAGCCTTTTCAAAAGAAAAAAATTACTTAGCAGTCTATATTATGCATGGTCTTTATATTTATAAATGCCTTCTACTCATAGTATTTTTATTTTCATATTATATAACAAAAATGTTGAGGGCTTCACAAAGTTCATGGAAAAGTGGAATTGAGAGACAATGTACATTTTCTGTGAACTTTTAAAACTATGCTCATGTGAGTAGATGATATGCCTTGAACATACAGATGAGTATTAGAAAGGAAATTGTGTTACGTTCGTGAAGGCTTTTCTTTGTTTCTTTTGCCAAATGTAAATGTTTTCTCAAACATTCACATCAGAGATTTTCTATATTTTTCAAGCAAAAAAAAAAAAAAAAAAAGTCCATGGTGACAAAAAAAGGGGTGGAAATCTCTTCTGTATATTTTGTTTCCAGGTGAACCAGAATTTAAGTATATTGGAAATATGCATGGAAATGAAGTGGTCGGACGAGAACTGCTATTGAACCTCATTGAATACCTTTGTAAGAACTTTGGAGTGGATTCTGAAGTAACAGATCTGGTCCGCAGTACTAGAATTCACATTATGCCATCCATGAATCCTGATGGCTATGAAAAGTCCCAGGAAGGTAATGAACAGGCTGTTTTCCATGTTTAAATCTTTTATGACATAATTGGCGATTGGAGAAAATGTGAACAGGTTGTTTTTCTGGAATCTCTTTGTATTTTATTCTAATCATTTATAATTGCTTTTAGCTCGTGTATTTTTGTAAAGTAGGCCAGTTGATTCAATAATTGTACGATTAAATTTATATTTAATAGCTTTTTCTACTTTGGTTATGGCTCTTATATAGTAAAAGAAGTATTTTACACATGAGGATACATTTTTAAAATGTTTGTTTATTTTCATGTACTTCAAAGAAAAGCAAGAGCCAGAAAGAAAGAGAGAGAGAGATTCTACTAGTAGTTCACTCCCTGAATATCCACAATAACCAGGCCTGGGCCAGGTCAAAGCCCAGAGCTCCATTTGGGTTTCCCACATTAGTGGCAAGGACTCAAGGACTTAGGCTGTCATCTGCTGCCTCCTGGAATGCATTATCAGGAAATTGGATTGGAAATGAAAGAGCTGGAACTCAAAACCAGCTCCCCAATGTGGGATGCAGATGTCTTAAGCGGCAGCTTCACATGTTCTCCTTTAACTCCCAACTCCTTAGCAATGTCTAATCTTTTATTTTAGAAAAAAAAAAAGGCTTACTTAGATATTTCAAAATGAAAAAGAGAAACAGAGAGACTCTTCCATCCACTGGTTCATTCTTCAAGTGGCCACAGGAATTCCATCCTGGACTTGGCCCAGGAATTCCATTCTGGTCTCCCATGCATGTAGTAGGGTCTTATCTTTTCCTACCTTTTCAGACACATGAGTAAGAAGATGGGTGAGAAGTTAAGCAGCTTGATAGAAAATGCTGGCATCAAGAACTGTGGCTTAACTCATATATTTGTATAATAACTGAGTGCTCTTTTCAAAGTGTGACCAAAGGGCAAAAATGAAAAGATAATAGCGTTGCCTCTTTGTTTAAAAAATCTAAAAGAGATTTTTAATGGCCATTGTAAAAAAACAAATTTAAAATCCCTCAGTGTTATATGAAAATTAAAGTGCTCATATGCTATATGAAAGTTGGAGTTCAGATAGCCAAAGTGGTATGGTAGGTTAAAATATAAGTGAAACATGCCTTTAATTTGAACCTTCTTCTTATAGGAGATTCAGTAAGTGTGATTGGCAGAAATAACAGCAACAACTTTGATCTGAACCGGAATTTCCCAGACCAGTTTGTTCAGATTACAGATCCTACCCAACCAGAAACGATTGCGGTAATGAGCTGGATGAAGTCCTATCCATTTGTTCTATCAGCAAACCTGCATGGAGGTATGGTCACTTTATATTCCACTTACTAGTTCTCACTGAAGGCATCTGAAAATTCTGTTGCAATCTCATTTTTCTTGTAGTCTTTCTAAAAATATTTCATCATTCACTCATTTGAGAGACAGAGGGGAAAAAAGAGCTTCAAATACTGGCTCATTTTCCAAATGACTGCGATGGCAGCAGCAACAAGGCCTGGGCTGAAGCCAGAAGCCAGGAACTCAGTCTGGGTCTCCCACATGGTGGCAGGAGCCCAGTTACTGGAGCCATACTTCTGCCCCCTCCAACACCTACAGTGGCAGAAGCTGGAAGACCTGGGACTCAAAACTAGAAACTGCCTTGTGGGGCACAAATATCTTAAATTCCAAGTGCCTGCCTCTCATCTGAGGCTTTCTTTAAATAGCCTGTTATTGCTTTTATAGCAGACGACAACAAGCATCTTTTCTTGTTGCTTTTAGGACAGTTTTCTGAATGTTTTCCCAGTCTTTCTCAATTTTTCTCCCCATACTTCCTTCTCTTATCCTTCTCTCTACTCCTCTCTCCACCCCTTTTTCTTCTGTCTTTCCTTTTTGTCTCCTTTTCCACTAATAGTTCGTCAAATGGCTTATGTTTATTTTATTTTAGGGTCTATTTTTTGTTTATTAGGAAAGCAAAATTACAGAAAGAGGAGAAGAGACAGAATCTTCCATCTGCTGACTCACTCCCCAGATGGCTGCAACAGCCAGGCATGGGCCGGCCAAAGCCAGAAACCTGGAGCTTCTTCCGGGTCTCATGCGGGTGCAGGGGCCCAAGGAGTTGGGCCATCTTCCACTTTGAGAGCTTAAAAAAAGATGTATTATTATTATTTTTTTAAGAGTTACATTGAAAAGGGAAGAGACCAAGAAATCTCCCATTTGCTGCTTCAATCCATAAACAGCCGCAACGGGTAGTGCTTGGCCAATTTGAAGCCAGGAGCCAAAAACTTGTTCAGCTCTTCCATGTCACTGCAGGGGCCAAATCACCTGGTCCTTTCTCTCCTGCTTTCCTAGGACCACTGTCTGGGAACTAGATGAGAAGTTGAGCAGCCAGTACTCGAACCAACACCTAAAACCCTAACCTTTCATCTCTTATGTAATGATGCTGGCCCGTAGAAAAATATTTTTGTACTTGATAATCATGGGCTGTTCTCAAAGAGCCATGTAATAATTTAAGCCGCTATACACTGGTTGCAAAATGATTTTTTGTTTCCTTCTTAAAAATATTTTATGTTTGATAAAAAAATTTTTTCATTTTGGAGCTGTTAAAAACATTCCCAGAATAAGTCAAATGTCATGTTGGCTGCATCTGAAAACTTAATAATAGCTACATTCCAGTGAAAATAAGTCACTGATTTGCAGATGTCATGTCAATACGTGGCATGGTGGGAGGCAGGCAGCGTCAGTTATGTTGATGTGCTTTTCTCCATGTTTTTGTTTTCTCAAAATCTTTTAATGGGTTCTAAAATCTTGGCAGAGAAGATTAAAACATTTCTTTGCACTGTAAGAGACAAAAAATCTTTGCATGCTCTTAAGTTCTGAAGCTGGAACTTAAGAATTAAGCTGACAAAAGATTAAGAAGAGGTAGGCATATAGATTTTAAGGTTTGTAGTTTTTTGTATCACAGGAGATTCAAAAGAAAAGAAGTGAAAATCCCAAAGAAACTTAAGAGTTAAGGACTTATGTACTCTTTAAAATAAAGATTTGGGCACTGCACGGGTACCCTAAGCAACTTAACTGTTTCACCAAACATCTATCCCTATATTTAGGTTCTTGAGGATCTGGTAAACTGTTTTTCTGCCAGGGCTGAATGTTTTTTTATTGTCATTGTCAGTGTATGAGAGTTCCAAGTTCTCATCTTTGTCAGTATTTTTCTCCTTTTTTAAAAAAAATGACATGTGTATCCTAGAGGGAAAGAAATATTACTAATTTGCAGTTTGATTTGCATTTATTCAATGACTAATCATGTTGATCATCATTTCGTGTGCCACTTGGCCATTTGTATGTCTTTGGAGAATATTCAGGTCTTTTGCCTAATTCTAATGGCCATTTTTGTTCAGTTTTATATATATAAAGGATTCTTTATATATATAATATATTCTTCACAAATATTGCCTTCCATGCTATAGTTTGTTTTCTCACTTTCTTAATATTTGATGCACAAAAGTTTCTGATTTTGATGAAGTCCATTTATCTTTATTGCTTGTTCTTTTGGTATTGATATTATTTATTTGAAGAGAGACTCTTTAGGAAAAGTACTAATAAGTAATTCTTTATGGCTTCTTTTTTGGTCTTAAAAAAATTGACCATTTAGGGGTTGAAAGGTAGTTCAAGTGGCTAGTTGGCTGCCTTGCTGGCACCAGCGTCTCATATGAGTACTCAATCATTTCCTGGCTGCTCCACTTATGATCCAGCTTCCTGCTTGTTTAATTCCTCTGTTTTGGATTATGTATCCAAAATGAACAGCGTGGATTACTTGAACCTCAAGGGTCTCGTTTTAAAATTACATGACCTTACAAATATCAAGTTTACTGAAAAAATCACATTGAACTTGATTTTTCTGATCCTAAATTTTTCATAAAATTGTTTATATTATACATATATGCTTCTATTTCCAGTTCTAGCATGTATGTTACACCTATGCATTCACAAGAGCTTGTTAAGGCAACCTTTAGGTTTCATGGATAGCTAGTCTTTCACTTACCTATTTTGATCTTCCATTGAAGAAATAAGTCCTTTTTTCATTTCTGTTATAGAAATGAGCTTTGGCAAATTGTATTGATTTCTCTGGCAGAATTGTGCAAAGTTTACTTTATGTTAAGAATCCATTTTGAAATAGATACCATGATGTTTTCCTTTTTCCCCTTGTAGGTTCTTTGGTAGTTAACTATCCTTTTGATGACGATGAGCAGGGACTTGCCACATACAGCAAATCACCAGATGATGCTGTGTTTCAACAAATAGCACTTTCTTATTCCAAGGTAAGCTTAATAAAAGAGGCTATCGAGTGATTTCTTGCAGTAAAAAAAAAAGGCCTTGAAATGAAGTCGCACAGTGCTCAGGTTACCTGCTTTCTTGGATAGGCCTTCCATGGTCCCTTTCAGACAGCCGTGGGGCCTCTTTGTGGCACATCCAACCTCTGAACAGAGTGCGAGAGGACCCAAGTCTTTCTAAACTTTCACTCCCCAAGCAGCTGCTACAGCTGGAGCTGAGCCAATCCGAAGCCAAGAGTCCAGACCCTCTTCTGGGTCTCCCATGTGAGTCCAGGATCCTAAGGCCCTGCACTGTCCTCGAGTGCTTTCCCAGGCCACAAACAGGGAGATGGATGGGAAATGGATGGCCAGGACTAGAACCGGCGCCCATATGGGATCCCAGCGCATGCAAGGACTTCAGTTGCTAGGCCACATGTCAGGGCCCTAAATAAACAAACCTTAAAAAAAGAAAACTACAAGAAATATTGTAATCAATTCTGAAAATATTTGAAACATAACAAAGGGGTAATAGAGATGAAGACTGTAGAAAGATGAGACATGATACAAATCCCTGAACTCACCTTTGATCCATTTTCTCTCATGCACTAATACAAGAACAAAAGTAGACAAACTGGGGAGGGTCTACCTGCAGTATAAAGTTTCTTTGAGAACTCTGAGAGAGCCAGGTAGGTAGAGGGGCTGCACTTCTCAAATGAGAAGAGAACTGTGAATTGATGCCAGGGAAATCTAGATTTTCCTTGAACTCTGGGATAAAAGACCCAGGCTTCATTGTTTCTTCTGGAATACAGACAGCGGGAGACTATAGGCCTGAACGCACCTGGACTCGCAGTGACAGACAGACCCAACTGTTACCAGTTCCTGCAGCTGGAAAAGGACTACTGTGCAGAGAGAGTGACGAGCAGCGAGCTCACAGCCCAGCAGCATACAGTGTGATGCTCTGCTCTTATGGGGAAAAGGGCTGGGGCTGCAAGCAGGGAGATGGATGGAAAGTGGGGCCGCTGGGATTAGAACCAGCAGCTATATGTGATCCCGGCACATGAGGATCCTGTAAGAATCTGGAAGAGGTACCTGGCTCCTGGGTTCGGATCAGGCACAGCTCTGGCAGCTCTGGCTGTTGTGCCCGCTTGGGGAGTGAATCAGCTGATGGAAGATCTTCCTCTCTGCCATTCCTCCTCTCTGTATATCTGACTTTCCTATAAAAAATAAAATAATTTTAAAAAAGAACATTGGGGTCCTGCCTGATAGGCTAGAGGCTAAAGTCCTGCCTTGAACACACCAGGATCCCATATGAGAGTCAGTTCGAATTCCAGCAGCCCAGCTTCCCATCCAGCTCCCTGCCAATGCACCTGGAAGGGCAGTGGAGGACAGCCCAAAGCCTTGGGACCCTGCACCCACATGGGAACCCGGAAGAGGCTCTTGGCTCCTGGCTTCAGATCAACTCAGCTACAGCCATTGTGGCCATTTGTGAATAATCGGACGGAAGATCTTCCTCTCTGTCTCTCCTCTCTGTATATCTGACTTTCCAATAAAAATAAATAAATCTTGAGGCTTAAAAAAAAAGTCAGCCATCCAGATGAATATTAAGTGATGAGCTTTTTCACATATTCCCATGATACATACCTGACTCTTTAATGTAGTTCTACTTTTCACCTTCATTGTGGCTTCTAGTTCCTTAGTTTTATTTTCTTAGGCCATAATCATCTTGATTGAACTTTCTACTCACCCTGGATCCATAACTTTTCAGTGATGCTGCTAAGGATCTTGTGCATTCTCTTGACATAACGTATCTTGTCAGTCAGTATCCAGACCTCAGTAATTACTCCTGTGTCGCTTGTCCATCCTTCTACTACACAAGGAGCCCAGAATATTCACACAGTAGTGGCCTTTTGTTGTACTTTCCGCATTTGCCCTCCTGCCTCAGTGAGCCCTGAGTCCTGATTGGCAGTATTTCATGTTCTTTTACTTTACTCCTTACTCATTTCCAGGCATGGGGATCTTAGGACATTATCCTCTACCTGAGACCCTGATCTCTTATTTTCATTGGATCACTTTGCATCGACCTAAACTAGAACTTTGAGTAATCTGATGTAATCTCATTCAGATTCTGTCTTCTCAATTACTTACTATTTGTGTCTTATGCATATTCTCCTCAGTTTGTTTTTCTCACTACATTCTGCCTCTGGAATCTATGTATCTTTTATTGTAAGTAGGAAAGGTGATCATTAGCAGCTTCATTCTTCTTTTCTTTTTTTAAAGATTTTGTTTATTTTTATTGGAAAGGTAGATTTACAGAGAGAAGGAAAAACAGAGAGAAGCATCTTCTGTCCACTGGTTCACTGCTCAAGTAGCAGCAATGGATAAAGCTGAGCCAATCCAAAGCCAGGAGCCAGGAACTTCCTCCAGGTTTCCCACACGGGGGCAGGGTCCCAAGGCTTTATGCCATCCTCATCTGCTTTCCCAAGCTATAAACAGGCGCTGTATCAGAAATAGAACAGACAGGACTTGAACTAATACCCATATGGGATAGTTAGGTTGGCTTTACCCATTATGTCAACAGAATTAGCCCCATAAAGCTTTTTTGTTTCCTCGATTTTTATGCTTCCAAATTTCTCAACAATAAATAGTTGTGAGAGACTTCAGAGTAGCCAAAGATAGTGATAGTTACAAGGCAATCAACCTTCCAAACATTTTCTCCGAATGACACAAAGCGATTTTACAACATCCAAAATTGCAAACAAAACATATCTTTGACAATGCAGAAAACCTTGAAACTACAAAATAAGTGCAAGTAAAAAGAAAAAGAAACCCTGGCATTATCTGTAATGCTGCCAGCCCCTTTGGCTCACAACAAGGCCATGGAATGAAGAAAGGCTAGAATGCTGATTAACAAGACCCACAGAGAAGCCTGCAGAGGGGGCCAATGAAGGCTGGGCCTCAAGATGTTTTGGAAGGTCCAGACATTCTACACACCCCAAGTCCAAAAATACTACAAAGATCACTGCATGTAAAGCTCTGCAGAATTGAGGTTTCAAACTGCCCAAAGCTTAAAGGATCTGGCATGATTTAAGGAGATAAATACAGATTTAAAGGACAGAAGGGTTTAAAAGGAAATCTTCCTAACTCGTAGCATCTAGCAAAGGGAAAAACAAGATAAAAGGAGATGAAAGGATGAAGGGGGAAGGTAAAGCATGCTTGCAAGAGCCAGAAAAGAACTGTAAAAATAAAAAAACACTCCACCCAACTGCTAAGACTAACCAACAAAACAACACTATGCAGCCCCTACATCTCTGCCTTTCAAATAAATAGAATCTTTAACAAAAGCAATTAAAAAAATATTACATGTAAGTCTTTAATGGAAAACCATCAAACAAAAAAGCCTGCATGTAGTTGTTACCATGATTTAGAATTATGATTTTCATTTGATCGTAGAATGATGGAATCATGAAACTTTAATTGAGCTTAAGTTTCTGAGAGGATTGCTTGTACATTGTGTTTTAAATTTGTTTATTTTCAGTTTTATTTGAAACACAGAGAAACAGAGAGGCTCCCATCTACTGATTCATTCCTTAAATGCCTAAAACAGCCAGGGATCGGCCAGGCTGAAGCCAGGAACCTAAAATTCAGTGTAGCTGGCAAGAACCCAAGTACTTGAGCCATCATCTGCTGCACTCCTGGTCTGCATGGCTTGGAAATGTAGGATCCATGGTACAAAGCAGGCACTGCAAGGGAAGGTAGTCATCCCAACTGGTATACTAACTGCTGTGACAAAAACACCTGCTCAAGTTTATACATTTTAAAGTGAAGTGGTTAATTCTGAGGGATAGGGAAACTATTATTTTTGTCTTCAGTACTTTTCTAGACTTCCCTTTTCACTTCCTGAAGAGAAAAGTGAAGTTTTGGTTATCTCTCAAAGTGTAATTCCTCCCGGAAATTTCTCCTGCCATGTTAATCAGAAATAATCTTTCTTACCTCTGGATTCCAGTTAACATTTGTTTATGCCTCCATGGTAGTGTTTCTTAACCTTCCTTGAGTAAGCAGTTCCCCTTGTGCTGAGTAATGGACACTGGGCTGGATGCTGTGGACAAACTATTTCAAAGAAATATCATGTTAAAGGGAGAGAAAGGATGGCGCCAGTTGGCATAGGATAAGTTCATTGTTGTAGATGTTGGAAAGCACAGAGGGCCTGGAGAAGACAGGGAAAGCTGCTTAGGCTTCCTGGCACATCGTGTGCCATCTTTTCTGAACTTCAAGCTCCTTGAAAGCATACCATAAAAGTGTGAATACGATCAGAATTTTCTATTTCTAGGGAAGTTTTGGGCCAGATTTTGAGTCCTTTAATCACTTTTTAAATTTTTCTTTATCTTTGCAGTGTTTTTGATGCAGATACTTTGTTTTTTCAGGAAAATTACCAGATGTTTCAAGGCAGACCATGCAAAAATATGTACCCTAATGAATATTTTCCTCATGGAATAACAAATGGTGCTAATTGGTATAATGTCCCAGGTAAGGTTATTTTATATCTAGGCCTTATACCTTTGTGGATTTTCCTCTCTCCTAAATAGTGCTGCTTATTACTGTTCTTTTGATTTGGGGAAGAGTCCTTGTTTTAAAAATATTGTTTACATAGTTTAAAGCATTCACAGATTGTCAACTGCTTTTACATCAGGTGAAGGTTGAGTTTTAGGATGTGTCTATTTTATTTGAAAGTCAGAGTTACAGAGAGAGGGAGAGTTAGATCTTCCATCTGCTGATTTACTCTACAGACAGCCTCAATGTCCAGAGCAGGGCCAGGCCAATGCTAGGATCCAGAAGCTTTATCCATGTCTGCCATGTGGATGGCAAGGGCCCAAGCACTTAGGCCATCTTCTGCTGCTTTTCCCAGACCTTAGAAGGAAGCTGAATCAGAACTGGAACAGCCAGGACGCAACACAGCACCCGTATGGGATACCAGCATCACAAGCAATGCTGGATCAGTTCTGTGTGATCAGCCAGAAATGAGCCCCCTCTCGGCTCATTTTGAATTTTGCATGAAAGTATTATAATAAAACTTGATACAAGTGTTCAATTTTGTTTCTTGCTATTAGAAAGAACTTTCTATGTGCCAGTAGGAAGAATGCAAACTGCACTTGAACTCACCTTTTTGAGCTTGAAAGTGTTCATAGGTGCTTTGCCAATACTGTAAACATCAAAGATCTCCCAAGTCAAAATATTGTTTTTTGACCAATGATAATGCAAGATCAGTTTGGCTTTTTCTTTTGGGGTCTGAACTATTTGGAGCTTCTTCAGAGTGACATATTTTAAGTTTTTATCCTTTAGGTGGAATGCAGGACTGGAACTACTTACAAACAAATTGCTTTGAAGTGACTATTGAGCTGGGTTGTGTCAAATACCCATTTGAGAAAGATTTGCCAAAGTTTTGGGAGCAGAATCGAAGATCTCTAATCCAGTTTATGAAACAGGTGACTATTCAGCAGTGAAGTATGAGGTTTCTCCTAAGAACAAGATATTTGCGTGAACATGTGGTTTTCATATAGTGACAAGAATATACTCAAGTTCCAGTTTAATTTTATTTGTGTATTCCAGTTTGTTGAGGATATTTAACTAGAAGGTTCTTGCATACAAATCAATTTATTTCTATTTGTAAAAAGGAATTAAAGAAAATGAAAAAGCAGTTTAGTGATGTTTTGCTATTAATGGTTAGTAGCCACATTTTGCCCTGTCTTTACAAAAAGCTAACATTAATTGTATATACACCTAAGCATTTGTCAAGTGATACAAAGATGGACTGTGGAGTAAGTGCTTTTAATTCTTCTTAATGTTAGTGACTTCTGGGAAACAGTAATTTTCTTTGTTTGGATATGCATGGTGGCCAGTGGTAAAGAGCCTGTGAAATGTGCCAGCAGGTAGTTAGCATAATCTAATATTTTGTACCAATACTTTTGACTTTGTTTTCTTTTCTGAGTGATGCAACATAAAGGCCATGGGTTTAATAACATTTAAAAATATTTTCTTCTGAAAAGTGTTAAACATATAGAAAAAAAAATTATAAGGGCCAGAGCAGTGCACAGTGAGCTAAGCTGCTATCTGCAGTGCTGACATGCTATATGGGCACCAATCTGTGTCACATCTGCTCCACTGCAATCCAGCTCCCTGCCAAATTGCCTGGAAAAGCAGTAGAGGATGGCTTAAGTACTTGGGCTCCTTCACCCACATGGGAGACCCCAATGAAGCTCTCAGCTCCTGGCTTTGACCTAAACCAGTCTTGCCCATTACAGCAATTTGTAGAGTCAGCCAGCAGATAAAAACTCTTTTCTCTTTTTGCCTCTCCCTCTATCTAACTGTGCCTTTGAAATAAACAAACAAATATATTTTGAAAAGACCAACAAACATTCATATGCCTAGATTTAACAGGTTTTGATATTTGTTCTGTATTTGCTATATTTATTTCTGATGTGCAAATTTTTGCTGAACATTTCAATATAAATATAGGTTTTGCGCTATTATTTTATACATATTTCTGTATCACTTAAAAACAAGAATATTCTCCTACATGTTATCTGTAAATATCACTAGCTCATCTTAGAAAATTAATTCTCTGAAATTATCTAACAACTGGTCTATATTCAAATTTCCAAAATTGTCCTCAAAATGTAAATTTATAGCTGTATTTTGGAACCAGGAACTGGTTAACAAGTACATACTAAATTTTTGTTAGAGTTTTTCTTTTCTCTTCCTGCTTCTTTTTAAAATTTTTTATTTGAAAGGCATAGTTTTCATAGTATTTGAAAAAGACGATTGAGAATGAAACAGGCAGAGAGAGATCCATCTACTGGTACTTTCCCTAAGTACCTTCAACAGCCAGGGCTGGGCAAGGCTGAAGCTAGGAGCTGGGAGCCTAGAACTCAATGTTTCCCATTTGCGTGGAACATGGCACAGATCCATCACCTGTTGACTCCCAGGATAAACTGTAGCAGGAAGCTGGATCTGAAACAGAGGGACTTGAACCAGGCACAACCAGCAGTGGTTTAATCATTGTGTAATGTGTTTCATTATCATATCTCTTTATTCTTTAATCGAAAACCATCCTTGTATTGTTTAGAAAATATCATTTTTGTTTTTGAAGAGACCAGGCCTCTTTTCTTGCAGAATGCCTTACATTCTGAAATAGACATACTGGGCTAAAGTTTACATTTTATAAAAGGTTTTCACAGTGATAAAGACAGCTTAGCCTATGAAAAATTAGTTTTTAGAAAGTAAAATATTTTGTTTCGTGAGCATTTCTATTTTGTTTTGCTATGAGCTATTGGATTTCTACTTATGTTTGTTTACATTGTTCACAATCTGTTACTTTGAATATGATGATCTAATGGAAATCTGGTGTCCTTGTACTTTATTCAGGTTCATCAGGGTGTCAAAGGATTTGTACTAGATGCCACAGATGGCAGGGGTATTTTAAACGCCACTATCAGTGTTGCTGAAATTAATCACCCAGTGACTACTTACAAAACTGGAGACTATTGGCGTCTCTTGGTTCCAGGAACTTATAAAATCACAGCATCTGCTCGAGGGTGAGTGATACCAAGGGCTTGGGGATAAGTCAGATAAAATGCCATTCTGGAAGGTTACCACCAGAAAATCCTAGAGGCTGCCACACAACGTGGAGTCCTGACTCTCCTCCAGCAGCAGAGTATGAGAATTGCCAGATACCAGACATCTGTGAACAGTGGCTTCTTATACCTTCTTTCTCGCTGATCAGCTGTCTGCTATGCAGATAAAAGAGCTTTCCCGAGTGATTTCTGTCAGTGTTGTTAGCAGTTTCTGGAAGCACCCGTTGTTTGGGGCGACCGGGGGAAGGTTCTGTTTCACTATGTACTTCTGGTCCTGTTATTCCAGTAATTGCTGCTTAGTTACTCTTGTAAAGCTCTTTCAGATACTCATTTAAAAAAAAGTATTCTACATGTGCCTTAGGGCTTCTGTGAAGTTATCTTATTAACAATTCTTTTAGTAAGGCCATTTTCATCTCTTGCAGGTTTTATTTCTACAAAGTTTTATTTAGACAGAAAATAAGTTTGTGACCTGCTTTTAAAAAAAATTCATTTCTTTATTTTTTTCTTTTACAAATAACTTGGAATTGTACTATTTAATCTGGATTATCATTATACTCTTTGGGTTTTTTTCTTATGTTTTGATAAGTAGAGGTATTATAACAAAATATTTACTCCTTCCCCAACAAGCTTAATCCTGAAGAATTAGTGAAAGAATAAGTCAGTGAAAAACTCTATACTTTTATCTTTAAATTTTTTTTTCAAATATCTCATGGTCCATAAGTGAAAGAATCACAGTAATAATGAGCAATTCTCTATTTTTCTCCCATTTTAGCAGAGTAGTAGATAAACTAGAGCACACTTTATGTGAGAAACAGGGTCTTGCAATAGTATGTTTGCCAGAAAATGTCCTGTTAATGTGTTTCTGACTTTTCTCCCCACATAGCCTGATGAAAGACAAATAAACTCAGATTCCAGGATATGTGGAAGTATCCACTGCCAGCAGAAACTTTCTTTTTAAATCATTAATTTATGTAATTTTAAAATTCACTCATAACTCACAGAATACATATGTCTAGCTTTTGTTAATTAATGTTTTTAAAAATTATAAATTGCCTGGAAGTTAGAAACTTCACTCTTTAGGGAAGGGGCACCACATTCATCCCGGGGACTGACTCGCCTCCTGCACAACTCCTCTCTCCCCGGGTTTGGTCCTCCAGCTGCACGAGTGTGGCTCTGATCTGTCCCTTTGTTGCAGGTACAATCCCGTTACCAAGAATGTGACAGTCAAGAGTGATGGTGCGATTCAGGTCAACTTCACACTTGTTCGATCTTCAATAGATTCAAACAATGAGTCAAAGAAAGGAAAGGGTGATAGCACAAACACTGATTACACTACTGATCCAACTACTAAAGAATTTGAGGCTTTAATTAAAGACCTTTCAGCTGAGAATGGTTTGGAAAACCTCATGTTAAGCTCTTCCTCAAATCTGGCTCTTTATCGTTATCATTCGTACAAAGACCTATCAGAGTTTTTGAGAGGACTTGTAATGAACTATCCACATATTACAAATCTTACCAAGTAAGTGTCGCCTTCTTATTGACTTTGTTTTTCTGTTCTTTTCTTTAAAGAAGGTTCATTCAACATTAGGCATATTAAATGAGCCTTGTGATTTATCTAGAAATATTTGGGATGTGAATGCATGGATTGCAGTTTTGCCACAGATATTCTCATAGAGATCTTTAAAATAAATCTTGGGGCTGGCATCTGAGCACAGTGGATTAAGCTGCTGCCTGCCATAGTAACATCCCACATGAACACTGGTTTAAGTGTCCTGGCAGTTCCACTTCTGATCCAGCTACCTGTTAATGTGCCTAGGAAAGTAGCCAATGATGGCCTGTGTACCTGAGCCTCTTCCACCCATCTGGGAAACCTGGATGGAATTGGCCTGGCCCAATTCTAGCTGTTTTGGCCACTTGAAGAGTTAATCAGTAGGTAGAAGCTCTCTGTCTTTTGCTCTTTGTAACTTTACCTCTCAAAAAGTTTGAGTAAGTATTTTTTTAAAGGTTTATTTACTTTTATTGCAAAGTCAGGTATATATATAGAGGAGGAGAGACAGAGAGAAATATCTTTTGTCCAATGATTCAGTCCCCAAATGACTGCAATGGCCGGTCACACTGATCCAAAGCCAGGAGCCAGGAGCTCCTCCCGGTCTCCCATGCGGGTGCAGGGTTCTAAGGCTTTGGGCTGTCCTCAACTGCTTTTATTGTCATAGTTAGTGATTTCTGTGTTTTGCATATTTGCAGATAGGTTTCTGCTTTGTATTTCTTTGACTTCTTGGTTCTTTGCTGTATACCCTATGAGCATTACCTAGCCTGTTTCAATTTTTTCCAATTTTTTTAGATTTGAAAGGTTCAGAGACAGAAACAGATCTTCCATTCACTGGTTCACTCCCCAGATTCCCACATCAGCAGTCACTGGGTCTTGCCGAAGCCAGGAGCTCAGGACTCAGCTTGGTTCTCTGACTCAGCTTGACAGGAACCTAAGTGCCCAAGCCATCATCTGTTGCTTTCAAGGTGTGTAATAGTAGGAAGCTGGAAATAGAAGCAGAGCAAGGACCTGAATCAAAGTACTCCTGTCTGGGCCCAGCGTGATAGCGTGGTGGTTAAGGTCCTTGCCTTGCACACACCAGGATCCCCTATGGGCGCCAGTTCTAACCTGCCAGCCCTACTTCCCACTTAGCTCCCTGCTTGTGGCCTGGGAAAGCAATCAAGGACGGCCCAAAGCCTTAGGATCCTGCACCCATGTGGGAGACCCAGAAGAGCTTCTGGCTCCTGGCTCCTGGCTCCTGGCTTCGGATTGGCTCAGCTCCAGCCGTTGCGGCCACTTGGAGAGTGAATCATCAGATGGAAGATCTTCCTCTCTGTATATCTGACTTTGTAATAAAAATAAATAAATCTTAAAAAAAAAAAAAAGAAGTACTCCTGTCTGTCCTAACTAGCATTTAACTGTTGCACCAAAGAGCCTACCCTGCTTGCTTTTGTTTTTAATGACTTATTGATTTATTTATTTAGAAAAATTTAGAATAAGAAGGACAGAGTTCACAGCTTTTTGCATGTGTTCTACGTGTGTGTATGTGTGTGTGTGTTTCAAGTTTGTAAATCACCATTAAAATAAAGCTGAATTCCTTGGTAACTTTCTGTTTGTGGCTTTTGAAAGTTTGGGACAGAGTGCTGAATATCGACACATTTGGTCCCTTGAAATCTCCAACAAGCCCAACATGTCGGAGCCTGAAGAGCCCAAGATTCGCTTTGTTGCTGGTATCCACGGAAACGCTCCTGTTGGAACTGAACTGCTTTTGGCTCTAGCGGAATTTCTCTGCCTGCACTACAAAAAGAACACAGCTGTTACCCAAGTAAGAGAATGGCTGTTGTGACCTGCTTGTAAGAAGGAGCAGTGATGCCTTAGAATCAAGGCACCATTTAAAAAATCTGTGCTTTTATGTTAGGTTTGACATTTTCAGTACGTTATGAACAAATTTTTTGTGTATGCTCATTGCTAATATTATCTTTCTTTTGTTTCATTGTATTTGTTTAAAGTCCATACAGGAAAATATACTGAAGACTTGCTTCAGTTTATTTATTTAATACCCAGACTCCCCTTCCATTGTTAGATTTCTACATTCTAACTTAAAGGATTTCCATTTTCTATTTATTGGGTCACTATATTTTAAAAATGTAGTGAAAGCTATATAGTTTTTCTTTATATGATAAAATATCAGTTAGCTTGGGTGCTAAGAAATTTTATTGTTTTTGAAGTGTGTGTGTGGTTTTTTAAGGAGTTAGATCCAGAAAGACAGATACCCTCTGGGTCACTCCTCAGATAACCTCAAGGAGTCAGGATGTTCTTTCAGGTCTCCCATGCAGGTGCTGTGCCCCAAGTCCTCAAGCCATTTCCCAGTCACATTAGCAGGGGAGTGCATCAGAACTGGAGCAGCCAGGACATGACCTGGCATCCATATGGGATGATGGCAGCTTTACCTATTATGCCACAATGCTGTCTGCAGTGCTAAGAGGTTTCAGAAAGCAATGGAACGTTGTCTATTTCCATGACTACAAAAGAGAAACTAAATCTGGAGGCTTGATCTTGCATGTTGAAGCAACTGGTTCAATATTATCTCAAATTAAAGGAGAGAGTGCTTCTTTTTCCAGCACTCACAAATTGGCAGTGTTGATGTCAAACTTAAGAAAGGAGGAAAACAACTCCTATTTGTTGAGTACCTACAGTGTACCAGGTATTATGCCAGGTGATGTATTTCCATCATTAGCAATCATCAAACGATATCTGAAGCTGTGGCAATGAATCTGAGACAGAAGGCCTACTTAATCCTTAACCATGTAGTAATAATTATGTCTATCTTATAGATGTAAAAATTGAAACAAAGAGATATTTGTTAACTTACAGGAAATCCCATAGCTAATAACTCATGAAGTTAGAATTTAAACCCAGGGCCTGGCACAATAGTGTAGTGGTTTCAACACGCCAGGATCTCATATAGGCACGGTTCTAATCCTGCCAGCTCTACTTCCCATCCAGCACCCTACTTGTGGCCTGGGAAAGCAGTCGAGGATGGCCCAAAGCCTTGGGACCCTGCACCCATGTGGGAGACCCGGAAGAACTCTGGGCTCCTGGCTTCGGATTGGCTCAGCTCCAGCCATTGCAGTCACTTGGGGAGTGAATCATCAGATGGAAGATCTTCCTCTCTGTCTCTCCTCTCTGTATGTCTTGCTTTCCAATAAAAATAAATAAATAAATAAATCTCTCCTTTTTTTAAGAGTTAATAGAGAAAAGTGGGGCAAGACAGAAAAAGGTCTTCTATCTATTGGTTCACTTCCCAAATGGCTGCCACGACCAGGTTTGGGGCAGTCTAAAGCCAAAATCCAGGAGCTTTCTGGGCCTTGCACATAGGTTCAAGATCCCAAGGACTTGGCCCTCTTCCACTGCTTTCCCAGGTACATTAGCAGGGAGCTACATGGGAAGTGAGGCACTAATGTCAGGACTGATGTCAGCATTCATGTAGGATACCAACACTCTAGTTGGCACCTTAACGTTACACCTCAGATCTAGCCCCACAGTTTAATTTTGTGAAGATTTATTTGTTCTGACTGGAAAGGCAGATCATATTTATGGAGAGATGGAGAGACAGAAATATCTTCCATCTGCTGGTTCACTCCCTAAATAGCCACAACAGCTGGAGCTGAGCTGATCTAAAACCAGGAGCATCTTCTAGATCTCCTATGCAGGTGCAGGGTCCCAAGGCTTTGGGCCATACTCCACTGCTTTCCCAAACCACAAGCAGGGAGCAGGAAGGGAAGTGGAGCATCCAGGACATGAACTGGGGCTCAAATGGGATCCTGACACTTGCAAAGTGAGGATTTAGCCATTGTACCAGGCCCCCACATTGTATTTGTAATCCAAAAAATAGTCTCCCTATGATTATTGATATAAGTCAATAGTCAGCAGATTTTTTCTATTAAAGGCTACATTTTAGGCCTTGTTGGAGCAGATGTAACTGCTCAGCTCTGCCAGTAAATCACAAGACCAGTCATATGTGAGCAAATAAATATGGCTGAGTTCCAATAAAACTTAATATGTGGTAGCAGGCAACAGGCTGTGTTTTTTCCTACTAGTTTCTTACCCTTAAGTCACCAAGAAATGTACAGTAGGGTTTTTTTGTCGTTGTCCTTGTTTATTAAATTTACATGGGGCAAGAGAAAATTTTATTTTGTTGTTAATTTTTTTCTACCTTTTAAGTTAACTGTGTTAGAAATGAAACGTAAAGTCTTTGAGATGTGGGAGTATGTGTTGATTCCACTTGGAACTGATAAACACATGGATGTCTGTTTCTGTTTTAGTTGGTTGACAGGACTAGGATTGTGATTGTCCCTTCTCTGAATCCAGATGGACGAGAAAGAGCACAAGAGAAAGACTGTACTTCAAAGGCAGGACAAACAAATGCTCGTGGCAAAGACCTGGATACAGACTTCACCAGTAAGACTAAACCATATCCTCTTTTGTGTGTGTATATGTAAGATTTATTTGAAAGGAAGAAGTATAAGCAAGAGATAGACAGATCTTCTGTCTGCTGGGTTTACTCCCCAAATGGCCGCAATGGCTAGGGCTGGGCCAGGCTGACACCAGGGGACAGGAGCTTCATTCACCTCCCATCTGATTGGCAGGGGCCTGAGCACTTAGATCATACGTTGAGCTGCTCTCTTATGTGCATTAGCAGGCATCTAGATCAGGAATGGAGCAGTTTAGGACTTGAACCAGCACCCATATGGGATGGCAGAGTTACAGGTGGTGCCTTAACCCATTACTCCACAAAACCAGACCAGCGAGACTAATTTTTAAGTCACTAAAGTACTTTAGAGGTAATTTTCTCTTTGCTAGAGGATCAGTTGATTCTGTTTTAGAAATGGAAATGAGTTAGGGCCCAGCGGCGTGGCCTAGTGGCTAAAGTCCTTGCCTTGAACGCGCAGGGATCTCATATGGGTGCCGGTTCTAATCCCGGCAGCTCCACTTCCCATCCAGCTCCCTGCTTGTGGCCTGGGAAATGGGGCCCTGCACCTGTGTGGGAGACCCGGAAGAAGTTCCTGGATCCTGGCTTCGGATTGGCATAGCATCGGCCGTTGCGCTCACTTGGGGAGTGAATCATCGGACAGAAGATCTTCCTCTCTGTCTCTCCTCCTCTCTGTATATCTGACTTTGCAATAAAAATAAATAAATCTTTAAAAAAAAGGATTATTGGAAATGGAGATGAGTTTATTATAAATGAGGGATAAATAAATGCAGACATCCAGAAAACTTTTGAATTTTTTTCTTTTTCATTTACAAAAACAGTTCAAGGTTTTCTTACAGAAATTCATTCAATAGTATGGATATGTTTAACACTAGCTGTATAGATCTATGTATTCCTTTGTCTAAGTGAACTCACACATATGATGTCTATGTGTGTTGCTTTGGAAAGGTTTGTTTCTTACTTATTTGAATGAGATAATAAACTATACATATTGTTTTGCAACTTTTTCATTGAATATATCATTTTGGCTTTATTTCTAGATCTAAGGACATCTGAATATATACTCCAGTTTATTCAACCCTTTACTGATGGACATGTAGTTTCTGGTTTTTTCTCTTTTTTTTTAATTTAGTTATTTTTATTGGAAAGTCAGATTTACAGAGAAAAGGAGAGACAAAGAGCTTTTGTCTGCTGATTTGCTCCCCAAGTGGCCACAAGGGCCAGAGCTGAGCCAATCTAAAGCCAGGATCCAGAAACTTCTTCTCGTCTTCCTACACAGATACAGGGTCCCAAGGCTTTGGGCCATCCTCAGCTACCTTCCCAGGCCACAAGCAGGGAGCTGGATGGGAGGTGGAACATCCCAGCACAAACCACTGTTCATATGAGATCCTGGCAGATGCACGTCAAGGATTTAGCCCGTGAGCTATTGTGCTGTGCTCAGGGTTTTTCATTCTTTGAAAACATTGCTGTAGAAAATACCCTGCTTTCTGGAAATCTTATTTCTTTCAAAGATAGGCTGTACCATGAAATTGAGGCACCTATTTGACACCTGGGCTTGTAGCGCTAGTTATAGACCAAATCCACATGCCTGGGTTTGAATCCTTGCTATTATTCTGATGCTAGCTTCCTGCGTTTGAGCCTTGGGGAGTCAGCAGATGGTGGCTCAAGCACTTGGATCCTTGCCTCCCATGTGGAGACTTGGATTGATTGAGTTCCTGACTCCTGGCTTTGGCCTAGCCCAAACCCAGCTGCTGCAAACATTCAGGGAATTGGAATATATGTTCCTTTTCTTCTCCCTCACCCATCTCACTTTTAAAACAGGTAAAAACATTTTTAAAATGTATTAAGATAATTATATATTCCATTAGATGATTTTTAAAGTAGGGTATGCCCATCCTTATGATTTCCTTTAAGAATTTAGTGCCATAATGTATGCACATTATCCTGTAGTATATAAAATTCAGTATAATATACTTTCTAGAAGATATCTTTGTTGTTCAAGCTAGTGGCTTATGGAGAAATAAAATGGTTATGAATTTTGTAAGGTAATATTTTGGTGAGGTTTAAGTAAGGAATGTTTTTTATTTTCACAATAATTGAATATTTTAATTGAATATTTTCTTTTGTTTAGATAATGCCTCCCAGCCTGAGACTAAAGCCATCATTGAAAATTTGATTCAAAAGCAGGACTTCAGTCTTTCTGTTGCTTTGGATGGTGGTTCTGTGCTGGTCACATACCCGTATGACAAGCCAGTACAGACAGGTGGGTAAATGCATTATGAAAACACAGACACATGCACAATTCAAAACTAGATAAGAAATTCCAATTTAGTAATGTCTCCTTTAAATTTTTTTAAAATGTTGAGCATTTAAACATACTGTATAAGCAAATAACAACCTGAAAAGATTATACACACAACAACAGTCTAAACAATTGCTTGTGTAAGAGTTGTCAAATCTGATGAAGTCTTAGCTCCAATGAGGCTAGTCACGTTGGCACATCTGTTCAGTTTAGTCTACAAGCCTTCTGAGCAATCATTATGTTTGTACAGACTGGGAATACAAAAGTAAGTGTGACACACCCAGTTATAAGTGGCCAGATATTAACAGTGCAGAGTTACCCTCTCCTGCTTGAATCCTTGACTGACTGGTTATGCCTTGTAGTGAGTTAAACAGTTGGCTTGTTAAATCTTTATAGGGTTATAGTATGGGGAGATAGTTTGTGTTGTGTTCAGTTCAGCCTGTAAGGACTTCTGTAAGGCCAGCATTGCCCCCAAATATAGTAAGACATACCGAAACAAGTTTCTATTTCGTATGGTATCCTCCTATACTATGATAACACCATTGGTGTCTACGTGATTGTCTTAATGTGATGATTTGTGGTGAACTCAGGTATACAGTTAATATATAGTAATTGCTCAGTAAATTTTAATTGGTTGTAAGATGTACTAGAGAGGCAGAAGTACTGCATCCATGATGTTGAACTTATAGAAAAAATGCTTTGCATTTCTTCACTAACTCTGAATCTTTCTTTTTGTAGTGGAAAACAAAGAAACTTTAAAGCATTTGGCATCTCTCTATGCAAATAATCATCCATCAATGCACATGGGTCAGCCCAGCTGCCCAAATAAATCAGGCAAGTGTTTTCCATACTCTGTCATTGCTTTTGCAGAGGAGGGATTTCCACCTGTTGATCTCACTGATTCTATCTCTCTCTCACTGCTTTTGTAGATGAGAATATTCCAGGAGGAGTAATGCGTGGAGCAGAATGGCACAGTCACTTGGGCAGCATGAAGGTATGCCTCAGAACACAACTACAGTTCAGTCATAGTATCAGTCATTGAGCAAAAGATCGGTGACTTTCCTGTTATAAGAGGTGAAAGCACCTGCTTCATGCCCCTCTGATCATGAGTGGCTCCTAAGTTAACCTGACAATTATTTTATTTTCTGCTTTAGCTAATTTTAGTTGTACAATTCACTGACACTGGTTGCATTTGTAGTGTCGTATAACTTTCACCATCTCTATTTTGAAAGCTTTTTTTCTCAAGCATTTCATTGCTCCAAACAGGAACTCTATACTCAGTGAGCACAAACTCCCTGTGCCCCTCTTCCCACAGCCTCTAGGAATGTCTATCTTATTTTTGGCCTCTGTAAATTAGCCTATTCTACTTTTTGAAAGTGAACTTGGGGATGCAGAGAGAATGCTTTATGGACAGAAATCTGTCAACAAGCAGTCTAGTTTAGTTAGAATACGAATATAGGGGCCAGCTAAGCCTCAGCATGCAACCAGCATGTATCCAGTAAGAATGCCAGTCCACGTCCCACTGCACCATTTATGATCCATTTCCATGCTTACTGCCTGGGAAAACAGCTGAGGATAGGTGAATCCTTATGCCCCAGAACCCACATGGAAGACCCAGAAGAAGCTTCTGGCTTTGGATCAGTTCAGCTCAAGCTGTTGCAGCTATTTAGAGGGTGAAGCAGCAAGTGGAAAATCTCTCTTCTGTCTCTTTCTCTCAGTAACTCTGCCTTTCAAACAACTTTTTAAAATCTTAAAGAGAGAGAGAGGGCCCGGCGGCGTGGCCTTGAATGCGCCAGGATACCATGTGGCCACCAGTTTGAATCCTGGAGGCTCCACTTCTCATCCAGCTCCCTGCTTGTGGCCTGGGAAAGAAGTCGAGGATGGCCCAAGGCTTTGGGACCCTGCACCTGTGTGGGATACGCGGAAGAGGTTCCTGGATCCTGGCTTCGGATCGGCATAGCATTGGCCATTGCACTCACTTGGGGAGTGAATCATTGGACGGAAGATCTTCCTCTCTGTCTCTCCTCCTCTCTGTATATCTGACTTTCCAATAAATAAATAAATCTTTAAAAAAAATAGAGAGAGAGAGAAAGGGGGCCCAGCGTGGTGGCCTAGTGGCTAAACATCCTCGCTTTGAGTGTGCCAGGATCCTGTATGGGTTCTAATTCTCGCTTTGAGTGTGCCAGGATCCTGTATGGGTTCTAATCCCAGCAGCCTCCACTTTCCTCTGCTTGTGGCCTGGGAGAGCAGTCAAGGACAGCCCAAAACCTTGGGACCCTGCACCCGAGTGGGATACCTGGAGGAAGTTCCTGGCTACCAGCTTTGAATTGATGCAGCACCATCTGTTGCAGTCACTTGGGGAGTGAATCATCGGACTGAGGATCTTCCTCTCTCTCTCCTCCTCTCTGTATATGTGACTATGCCACAAGAAAGAGAGTGAGAGAGAAGGAAGGAAGGAAGGAAGGAAAAAGCAAAACGCAAAACCTTACATTGGGTCAGCTCTATGACACTTCCTATCCCATATGGCACCAGACTAGCTGCTCTACTCAGTGGTTTCCTGCTAATGGCCTGAGCAGAATGGGTGGATGGATAGGTAGGTAGGTAGGTAGGTAGATAGATTGATTGATTGATTGATTGATTTAATGGTGAACAGCAGAAGACACAAATGAGAAGAACATTTCAGGAAATCCTCGCCTTTGCATATGTGGGCTGGTACTAATCCCAGCTGCTCCATTTCATCCAGCTTCCTGTTTGTGGCCTAGGAAAGCACATGACAAGTACAGCCCAAGGCCTTAGGATCCTGCACCAACCTGGGAGACACAGAAGGAGTTCCTGGCTTTAGATCAGCCCAGCTCTGGCCTTTGCAGCCCCTTGGGGAGTGAACCCTTGAACAGAAGATCTTTCTGTCTCTGGTTCTCTCTGTAAACCTTTCAATAAATAAATCATCATCTTTTTTGGAAAGAAAAAAAGAGTTTGGCCATATGATGCTTTGTTTAATGAAGAAAAGAAACCCACTGAAGGTTTTGAGCAAAGGTATAGTGAGTGACATGGTTCTGGCTGTGTTACTAAATAATAAAACCTGGGGCCAGTGTTGTCTGCATCTGGCCTAGCCACTACTTGACACATTAACATCCCATATTTGAGTTCCAGTTTGAGGCCCAGCTGTACAACTTCTGACCCAGCTTTCTAATACTATGCCTGAGAAATCAACAGAAAGTGACCCAAGTACCTGGTTCTTAATACAGGTGTGGGAGGCCAAGATAGAGATCCAGGCTCCTGGCTTCAGCCTGGCTCAGCTCCGCATTTCAAATAAATAAAATATTTGAAAAAATGCATAAAACTAATGTCTTAATGATGCATTAAGATAGTTTTCAGGTAGGAGACTGATTTAGAATGGTCTGATTGTGGCATTGACAATGGGATGAGAGGCAAGGGACCAAGTTTCAGGGATGTTGAGTTGGGATTAGCAGGATTTTTTAAATTATAGAGGTTAGTAAATTAAAGATATAAAGGGTGAAAGAGATTTTATGGAAAAATGGAATATCAATTGAATTGGGAAAACAACAGGTTTGGGGTGGCAGAATGTGTTAAAATTTTGAGCCTATATACAGGCAGTTTTTGTGTCTGGATAAGTGCTCTTACAGGCGGTAGTTTATTGTCACCTTTAGGTTCCAGGTTGAGGGCATCAAAAGGCAAATTCTTGTTATTCTACCTCTAAGGCTCAATGGAATTCCAGGTTTTAAAGGAAATGGACCCTCTGCAAACACTCACTTATTTAATAAACCCCTCCACCTCCCAAGCACAGTGGGGTGCTCAGAGACATAAAGGTAAATCAGACTTAACTGCTGTCCTCAGAGGCTCTTTTAGGAACTATGATGTTTTGTGACTGATTACAGAGGGATTTATTTATATTTACTGTAAAGTGTTTACAGAGTCTTTGGTTATGCCACCTTACTTATATTACCTCATTTTCTTTTTATTCTGTTTATTCCATGTGTTGTATTGCAAGTTGTCAGTCTTATGTTCCTTATATGTTTTATTATATTTGAGTTTTAATTTTATGTTTCAGGATTATAGCGTCACCTATGGCCATTGTCCAGAAATCACAGTGTACACAAGCTGCTGCTACTTTCCCAGTGCAGCACAGCTTCCTTCCTTGTGGGCAGAAAATAAAAGATCTCTTCTTAGCATGTTGGTGGAGGTAAGTCCTTCTCTTTTGACTGGAATTGAACTCCTAGGACTACCTTTAGTGCAAACCTTTATTGTAGCATTGTCTTAATCTTTCATCAAAAATATATATTGAAAGGAAAGCTTTCTTCATTTTATGTTCCCTAAATAGAAGCCATGCATCCATATATGTGGAATCTACTGTAATTTTATTTGACTTTTTGAGATACTGTATGTTCTTTCTATGATATTCCCAGTTACTCGAGTCAGTGTGTTGGGGTGGCAAGGGAGATTGCATTCTGATGCTTTCAGCTTTGACATATCAGAGTCCTGCTTCTCTTATCTTCATCTGTGTGACTCTGAAGGATTGACTGAGAAGCAAAGTAGATGAGAGTCAATGGGGAGGGGGAGTAGGTCAGGCTTGCATAGTGTGTGTGAGAGAGAGAAAAAATGCTTTTTTGGTTTTGGTCATATCTCAAGTTGTTGCCTCTAGAATAACTGACATTATGAAAAATTTATGTCTCCACCATGTTTCAGGTTCACAAGGGAGTACATGGATTTGTTAAAGACAAGACTGGAAAACCAATCTCCAAAGCAGTCATTGTACTCAATGAAGGAGTAAAAGTACACACAAAAGAGGGAGGGTATTTCCATGTACTGTTAGCTCCAGGTGTCCATAACATCAATGCCATCGCGGATGGCTACCAGCAGCAACATTCCCAGGTGAGAAACACAGACTGAACAGTGTTATATAAATTCTTAACTCTTCATTAGACTTCACTACTTTGAAACTACTGTTAGAATTTTTTTTTAAGATTTATTTATCTCTGGGCCCAGCACGGTGATCTAGCTGCTGGGGTTCTTGCCTTGAACGCACCAGGATCCCATGGGCACCAGTTCTAATTCTGGCAGCTCCGCTTCCCATCTACCTCCCTGCCTGTGGCCTGGAAAAGCAGTTGAGGATGGCCCAGGGCTTTGTGACCCTGCACCTGTGCCGGAGACCCAGAAGAGCTCCTGGCTCTTGGCTCTAGATTGGCTCAGCTTCGGCCGTTGCGGCCGCTTGGGGAGTGAATCATCAGACAGAAGAACTTCCTCTCTGTCTGTCCTCCTCTCTCTGTATATCTGACTTTGCAATAAAAATAAATAAATCTTTAAAAAAAAAGATTATTGGAAAAACAAATTTACAGAGATGAGAGAGAAAAAGAGAAAGAATTTGCATCTGTTGGTTTATTCCACAAATGGCTGCAATACCAGAGCTCATCCAATCCAACCCAGGAACTTCTGGGTCTCCCACCTGGGTGCAGGGTCCCGGGGACTTGGGCCACCCTTAACTGCCTTTTGAGGCCATCTGCAGGGAGCCATCTGCAGCTGGGACACAAACTGGTACCCAACCAACACTTACAGGAGAGGATTAGCCAGTTAAATGATCCCACCAGCCCCTGCTGTTAGGAATTCTTGTAGTACGTTGTATATGGTCGATACTCATGAGTCATCTCCCTGGTTTGTATAAAGTCTCTGAGAATTTCATAGGAATGTTATACACCTTGAGGAAACCTTTTCGTTATTCATGTATCTTCTCCTTCTAGGTCTTTGTGCATCATGATGCAGCTAGCTCTGTGGTGATTGTCTTTGACGCAGATAACCGGATATTTGGCTTGCCAAGAGAGCTTGTGGTAACTGTATTAGGTAAAGAACTTTCAGCTTTTAATAGTTTAAAGTTAAAATCAATCCTGATGTTTCAATTTAATATGGGTAATCTCCACCAGCTCTTGACACCAATCTCTTTGCTTTTGAGGTCTCCTTTCTTCAGTGTCACTTTCCTGAATCTCCTCTCCCCTGGGAGGGCTTGTCGCTTCACTTTTTCAGTTCTGTGCTCCACAGTCACCTCCATGGAGAGGCCTTCCCTGATCATCCTAGTCTCCCATCACTGACTCTACCTGCTTTGCCCATGATTTATCTGGATTCAGTCTCTCTTAGGGACCCCTAATCTCTGAGACAGTGGGCAGCTTATCTGCATTCCCAGAACCCAGGACCCTGTTTATGTGGCAGATCTGAGAGAATGCTGAATGAATGAATGATTTACTTTAAATGTTGATGAGGTCCTAGTGCCTTGACTTACCTTAGTTCTGATTTTCAAGATCCAGGAAAGAGTAAATTTTTTTCTCCAGGATTAATTTGTATCATTTCTTGAATTAATGAAATTCTAAGAAGAAAAGAGCCTTGGTTCATTTCTCAGGGCAGTTTGGACTTGAGGCAAAATAACCAAGTCTTATTATAGGGTTGTATGAAGGGGAGATCCTTAGTTGAGAAAATTAGCATATTAGAAACATGATCCAACCAAGTTTTAGCAGATAAAGCCCAAATAACCTAGTGATTAAAAATGCAGGAGATAGGATTCAGACATGGTTTAATTCTAACTCTGCAGCCCATTAGTTCTGAATATTATTAATTTTTTGCCAAGATTGTTATTTTAATACTATATATTCAAAATTAGGAATTTAGGATGAATGAAAATTTACACGGAGGAAAAATAGAAGTTGTGGATTAATAAAAAGCAGGTTACAGGACAATAACCATTGCTGTTTTACTGTGGTAAAAGAAAATAGCACATGTGCATACACATGTATAAAAAGGATCTGGAAGAACAGGCACTAAGATAATTTAAAAATTATCTCAAGGTAGTAGAAACATAAGTGTGTGGGAGAGTGTATCTGCACTGTTTCTATAATAATACAAGGATGTCCCTCATGGTATAAAATAAGAAGAAAAAAGGCATGATATATTACTAGAAGTGCCCTTGTAAGTAGCTGCTCTGAGTATAATACTCCAACGTGATGGTTTTGTTTGGCAGGAGCCACCATGACAGCCCTGATCCTGACAGGTTGCATGATTTGGTGTATCTGCTCAATCAAGTCTAACAGACACAAGGACGGCTTCCACCGACTCCGGCAGCACCATGATGAATATGAGGATGAAATTCGCATGATGTCAACAGGCTCCAAGAAGTCTCTTCTAAGCCATGAGTTCCAAGACGAGACTGACACGGAAGAGGAAACATTATATTCTAGCAAACATTGAAAAACACAGTTTGCATTTCTCCCAGCATAAGTACCAAGCAACATTAGTTCCTCTTGGGAGACTCTGCATTAAGAAGAGACTGTCCTGCTTCTTCAAAGAGCTTTGGGAAGTTAACTTGCTAACTTTATATTCTCTGTGAATTTCAAAGGAAATTTTGAACTTCCCTTCCTTAAAGTACTCTTAGCCTTCAAAAAAAGAAATCTGACTTCTATTTATGCAGCAGAGATGGGACAGCCACTTTGTTTATCTTTTTAATTTAAAATGAGCTATTTGGAGTTTTATGTAATAACAATATAAAGCCAACTAGTAGATGTTGTATTTTGCACATGAGGAGTTTACTAGTGGCATTAGCCTTTTTTTTCCCCTTTATTTTTAAATGGCCAAAAGAATCCAGAAACATTAAGGCAGGGACAGCAGTCAGATTCTGACATAAAGCTTTAAAAACTCAGTGTTTTCTCAACCTACTGAGGAGTACTTCTCTCTAGTTATTAAATAGCTGGAGCTTCTCTTATTCAGGTTTAAAGGAGGTTGAACTGATTTTTAAGCATATATAATGTTAAGAAGTGAATAAATGGGCTTCCGCATTTGTCCTTCTACCTGTTTCTAGGCTAGATCAGAACTGGTGGGCTGTGCTGGATTTCACTACCTCTCTTGTAAGGTTTAGCAGATTTCTAAATAATCCCCCATTTTATGGGAGAACATACTGACTTGTGAAAGACTGAAGTGTCCACTTGAATGGAGCTGAGAGGATGATCTAGCAGAAGCTGAAACTCATGTTGCCTATCTTTTAACTTGGTAAAAACCCACAGGTGCTGCTGCTTTTATCTGTGAAGAACTAGTTTATTCTAGGAATGCCTGATTCTGTAACATTGCCTAAATTTGAACTTTTTTCTATGTTGTACACTTATGGTTTTCAGATAATGCACCCATCTACAAGATCGGAATTCTACTAAAGATATCTGGAAGTGTGGAAGAGACCTACCTGCACATTCTTAACCTATATTTGAACACAGAGTATCTGCACTTGTTACTCCAGCCTGAGCCTGCGCCATGAAATAGAGGACTGTGATTGAAATAACTTGGCCAGTCTTAGTCACATAGGCTTCTGCAAGGGATTGGATTCTTTGTCCTAATGTTTCATTTGACACATTTTTTTTATTTGTTTGTTTATTATTACTTTCTTTATCAACCAATTCTGTTAAAATTTTAATGGAAAGCTTTTACATATGGGTCCCTCCATTAAAAAAAAAAAAGAGGAAGAAATGAAAACTGTGGCTGCTGTGTGATATAACACTGTAGTGTGACGCTGTCATCCACTGCCGGGCAAAGACAAAATTGCTTTGCATTTTATTTTCTGTCTGATGCTATTTAGTGGAAGTGATGCTTTTTGTAAGTGTGTGTCTTACCAATGATCTGATGGCTTATTACCTTTGAATGTTTTAATGGCCAAGTTGCTGCTGAACTTGTACTAAATCAGGGGATCAAAAGCTTACTATCCTCTTTTGGATCATGTTCTATATTCATAAATGCATCCATCATCCCAGAGCCTTCCTGTGACGTGGCTTACCACCCTCTTGGGTTGTTCAACCAGGTTTTTAAAGGTATGCATCCAAAATAGTTTTACAAAATCATATTTTGTTTATTATGAGTGATGAGCTCCTAACATTTGTTAGTACCTGTGATCAGCTTGGGTGGTTGAAGGTTAAGCCCTTCTGCTATTGACCCTGGTGTTAGCCACTCTAAATTTTACCACATCCCTCTCATCCCACCACATACACAGATCAGAGCTTGTGGGATGCTAGTAATTAATGAGTTATCTTTTGCGTAATCATTTATGCTTTCTTTGTGAATATAGCATATTGCTCTTTTTCAGCTTTATTGTTTTAGAGTGAAAAGTCAGAAAACCAACGAAGAGCCCATGGTGTCTGGGCTTGCTTGTGCCATTGCAACTAGAAATGGAGGTTGGTGTGACAGCCTTCACTTTAACAGCATTGATCTCTAGAGGAGACTTTTTTATATCTTCTTCTCTCTTGAATTAAACATGCCTTTCTAACTGTACACCTTCATGGCTGGAGGTCATGCCTTTTAAGCACATATAAAATAAGTTAAGACATGAACATGCAAATAGTTCTTATAGTTATTTCTCCCAAAAGGAAAGTTAAATTCTGCTATCAACCTTGAGTCTTTAATGACTTTTTAAATAATGCATTTAGCTGGGAGACAAGGCCGTCTCTGCCTGTTACCTGTGAATCCAAATGTACCAAGATCTGACTACTCAGAATGTGTTCTCAGCCTTGTTCCATTTTTTTCATATGTGGCTCTCATCCCACGTAGCCCACATAAATCAATTAAGGCATTGAAGCCAGCTGGGATGGGGACTGCATTTCTGCAGTGTTCTAGAAACTTTCCATTTCCTTGGAGACATGAAGGCAAGTATCACAGCATTAAGAAATTTGCCCACGTCTGAGTTGTGCCTTTCTTCACTCACAAGGCATTGTTTTTGTCTTAGTGATCAGTTTGTAAAACCCTCTTTCTTCCTTCCCAACTCCTTAATAAAAGCAAAGTGACTGAGTAGGTACCGTTTAAAGTGTCTGCCTATGTAAGTGTCTTTGTACCGATTGTGTAGTCCAGGGAGCTGAGCCCTCATAGTTTCACAAGAAAGCCCCCATTGATTTTAGTGTGGGATTTGTAACGCCTGGGGAGTGAGTAGGATCCCACCCAGTTAAGGAATGCTTGCCATTCTCACAAAAGAGAATTTGGGGACTCTGTCATCTTCCAGAAAAAACAAAACACGTGATATTTTTGACTCAGATTGATTAATCTTCATTACTTTTCATCTGAATGGGATTTGCTGAATTAATGAATATTGAACTTAAAACTAACGATCAGTTTGTTTAAATAAAGGGTAGTATTTATGTGTGAACTTACTGTTTCTGAGCTAACACAAAGTTACTCAGTGACCATAAGCTGCTCCTCTATTTCCATTTATTCTCAGCATTAAAGTTTTATCTTCCTGTTGCCAGAAATGCATTTGTGCCAGGTTTCATCCCCTGCTGTATTAAAAAGCTTGCTTACAAGTGCTGTAAATGTGCCCTGTGTTCATGGTTCTCTGCTGGAATTGTTTAAATAGCAGCAATGCAACATCTCCCCTATGTTTTTGCTTTATTGTTATTACTAAAAATTCCATGGTGGTTGATGTTCCATAACTTTCTATCTGGCAACTTTTTGATAACTCCTTGGGTTTCTAATTTGTTTTAATTAAAGCACATTTGAGCGGGAATGATTAGTGTCCATGTGAATGTCCGCTGAACTTAAGAGTTCTAGTTCATGAAGAAATATCTCCAACACCCCCAATTTCTCTTATTTTTAGCAATAACTCATTAATGATTCCACTTGACGTTCAGAATATTGTCCTGACAAAACATTATCAAATTTGCAGGTTACCATTTTGAGGCAATTTGATATAAATTATGTAAATATGTACGATTATGACTTTTATACATGGCATTACATGAGTGTAGTAACTACATTCTATGCTAGCCATGCAGCAGATTTCCTGGAGGTTTGACATTGTGGTATTTTTTTTATGCTGAGATTCAAAATCACCTTTCCATGATTCCATTTTTTCAGAATGATACTCCCCAGGTTCAGAACAACCTATAATGATATGACGTGCCCAATACCCATTCATCTCAAGTGCTTCAGTCTTTGGTTTATTTCATGCACTGTGCCTTCAAAATTAAATTTTTAAAAGGGACTTTAAATAAAGTTGAATAGTAGACTTAAAGTCAATCTGTGTAATTTATGTGAAATCTAACTGTATTGAGGTCCTTTCTGTTTTTTATATGTAAACAGATCTAACCCTGTATAAAAGTTATTTTATGATGTTTGTCTTTGTGTTTTGTCTCAAAATCTTCTTTCAAAAGCAATAGGCCAGAAGTTATACTTCCAATTCACAAGTTACATAGGCTTTCTATCTATACTGGGGAAGCATAGGACTGGGTCGAAATGCAGGGTGTTTCATAAGAAATGTTTGTCTTTATGATTAAACTAAAAAAAATTAATTTCCAAAATAATCACATCATATCGTGGTCACAGTCTGCTCTTTGCTGTTTGACTCAGCTAGGTTGGTGTATCTTTCATCATTCCACCATGACCATCTCAATACTGAAAGGCTTATATCCCCATTTTGAATAGTTAAAATTGTGCCTTTTCCAGATGAGGCCTTGTTGGAATAATAAGCCTGTTACTTTTAGGTAAGGTGGTGATAAATTCTATATCCTCATTTCATTACAAACAGCTTATTGACACGGCTGCTGTAATAGGATCTGGCAAAGTAAAGTTATATATGGAACATGGTCACTGCTGAAAAGGAGACCAGACCAGGGAACTAATGCAATCATGACTTGTTCCTGTGAGGAAATGAAGCGGAGAGGTTATCATGTGAACTTTGGGGATGGGTGTTTACAACTGAGTCTGGATGGGGCCACTTGTTTCCTGGGTGAACTTGTCTTGCCCAAGTTGAGAGAGTCTGGGTCTCAATTTCTCTGCTGGCTAGGGGATAATCCTTTTTAGGATTTTAGTGAGAGATTATGTTCATGATGGGCCCAACCTCACATTAAACTCAACTGAATTACCATAATAATCAGCATGATGCTCCTTCCTTTGCTGTTTTCTGATCCCTTTGGGGGAGGGAAGTTATTTCATAAGATGTATGAACAGAGATCCGTGTACCGGTAAGCTTTTTTAATTGAGAAGAAATTCCTGAATTTTAGTATCCACAAATGCTCAAAGAAAAAGAGAAAATTGTAAAAATTGTCCCTGTTCCCTTTCCATAAGTTGTCAGAAGTATCGCAGTGAAGTTTTAATACTGCCACATGTTTTATATTTGTTTTTAAATAAAATGAGATTATGCTTCTTCAGTGAAGATAGCCTTAACTGCTTCAGAAAGTCTGAGCAAAGATAATAGTGATTTTTAATGAATTTGTTTAAAATTTTCTCAGGATTTCTCTGATACCTGCATCAAGATCCCATGTGGGGGTCTTGAAACGATCTGCCAGTTGAGTCCTTCAGGTTTGTTCTCAGGGTAGAACAAACTGTTTTGTGTGATAGGGTAGTCACACTAATACACTACTGAGGTGTGAACAGGTGTCATACTCTCACAGGCACATAGAATGCCAACTGATTCTATTTATTGCAAATCTCATACCATTGAATATTACCATTTTTAAACAGATGAATCCACATTTTAACCTTTTAAATGTGCATTTCTTTTGATTTATTTGAAAGAGTGTCTGAGATCGATTTTACATCCATTGGTTTACTCTTCAAAAGTCTGCAAGAGCCAGGGCTGTGCCGGGCTGAAGATGAAGCAAGGACCTCCAACCAGGTCTCCCACTGAAGTGCTCTTGGCATGAACCGCTGCCTCCCAGCATGCGGATTAGCAACAAGCCCAAAAGTGACTCAATCCCAGATTCTCCGATAAAGGATTCCATGCGTTCTAAGAGGTAAACCACCATACCACAATACCTGCCAGTAAACGTTAACCTTAGGATTACAGTTTCTACCTACCTACTTTAGCCAATGAAATGTTAAAAACAAACATGCCAGACCTGGTGCAAGGGCTCAATTGGCTAATCCTCTGCTTTGCAAGTGCCAGGATCGCATTTAGGCACTGGTTTTTTTTTTTTTTTAAGATTTATTTATTTATTGGAAAGTCGGATATACAGAGAGGAGGAGAGACAGAGAGAAAGATCTTCCGTCCAATGATTCAATCCCCAAGTGAGTGCAACGGTCGATGCTATGCTGATCCGAAGCCAGGATCCAGGAACTTCTTCCAGGTCTCCCACACGGGTGCCGGGTCCCAAGGCTTTGGGCTGTCCTCGACTGCTTTCCCAGGCCACAGGCAGGGAGCTGGATGGGAAGCAGAGCTGCCGGGATTAGAACCGGCGCCCATATGGGATCCCAGAGCATTCAAGGTGAGGACTTTTAGCCAGTAGGCCACGGCGCTGGGCCCGGCACTGGTTCTTATCCCAGCTGTTTTCACTTTCCATCCAGCTTCCTGCCTGTGGCTTGGGTGAGCAGCAGAGGATGCCCCAAAGCCTTAGGACCCTGCACCCTCGTGGGAGCCCCAGAAGAGGCCACAGGCTCCTGCTGTCCAGCTGTTGCTGTCATTTGGCGAGTGAACCAGCAGATGGAAGATCTTTGTCTCTCCTCTCTGTAAATTTGATCTGCCTTTCCGATAAAAACAAATATTTTTTTAAATGCCATTTCTTTAGCAATTTTGGGTGTGGGCAAATAAAATTCTATTCCTTGTTACTGTGTAAACTAATGTTGACAGGTGAGCAAGAATGAAATAGGTTGGTCTATCTCATAGGTCAAGTAAAAGTGTTCAAGTTGAAAGGCCAGCTGGGAAAAAATGAAAACAAAAGCATGAAAAGCTTTACTTTGGTTAGATCGCAGTGTCGATGATTTACTCAGCAATTGATTGGGTTGGGGCAATATAGAGGTGGTGAGAAAGCTGTAGGGAGGACTAAAAGGAATAGGAGACATCGGAGATGGAATATGTAGAAAATAAAATGTGGTTTATGCAGAAATAGGAAAATGTGAGTTATATTCTGGATCACTGAACTCATTTCTAATAGTTGACCTTATTCCAATATTTACAATGATTGTTTCTTATGTATCATGTAATTCTTAGGAGAGCTTTTAGGACCAAAAAGGTTTGGAATTTAGTGTCTGAGAACATGAAGTACCTAGAGGAACTGATCCTGAAGATTGAAAATAGAATAGAGAGGAAGTGGGCAGGTTATGGCATTGACTGCAATGGAGGACTACTGGACTTTTTAGAAATAATTTAAGGACAGACTTATTAAAAAAAACTACAAAGTTGTGGGGTTCATGTTTGGAGGATGTGAGCACTAGAAAAGTCAAAAGGGAGGGATTGTATGAACAGGTTTCTACTTAGTGGAACTTAAGTGAGGACCATTTGAAAGTGAGATTGGGCATAGAACCTAGCCTGCTATGCTAAGCTCGGATATTCCAGATATTAAGCCATGTGATACAGCTTCCAAGTGACTGGGTTGGATCTTTCCAGAACTCCATACTAGAGCTGAAGGAGAGCACCATTTTTGAACACCAATATAAAATAAAAAGTTTAAATATGTTTCATAAAACATTGTAACAAATATACTTGCTTCTTTCAAAGAAATAAAAGATAACCCTGAGACTATCACAGGGAATGATAAAACCATATCAATACTTCCAAAAATGAAAATGCAGAAACTAAAATTATATAGATAGTTACAGTGGTGGGTAGGCACAGAGAAATAATGAACCAGAAGGTCTGTGAAATACAAATAGCAAAGGAAAAATATAAATGAAGGAGAGGGTTAAAAAATGTGGATTTAGCATGAGGATCAGGGAGATTTGGGGCTCTAGAACAAAGAATGGAGAATAGAAAACCTTAAGAGACAACAACTGGGAATTTTCCTGTATCGATAAGTTATCAATTCACAAAGAAACTTAACCTGAACATGGAAAAGTAAATATCCACACTTAAACATATCAATGAAACAAAGATAAAGGGGAAAAATGGAAAGCAGAAAAGAAATTCAGAGAAAGCAGACTGATATTAGACTCGCTCCCTCCAGTGGAAAGCAAAGGGCACTGAGAATGGAAATTGCTGGATTAAATGTGAAGTAACTTCAGGAAAGAAGGTGAGCTTCAGGTGACAAGCCAGGTGTCTCCAGTGCTTCAGTCAGGAATGAGTTCTCAGGGGACAAAAGGAAAAAGCAGGAGTTGCAGGTGCTGCTTCTGCTTGTGGTATCTCAGATTTATTTTTTTTCAGATAATATTTATTTTTATTGGCAAGGCAGATTTTCAGAGAGAACGAGAAACAGAGATAAAAATCTTCCATCTGCTGGTTCATTCCCCAAGTGGCTCCAACAGCCATTTGAAGCCAGAAGCCAGGAGTGTCTTCTAAATCTCCCATGCAGGTACAGGGTCCTAGGGCCTTGGGCCTTATCCTTTGCTGCTTTCCCAGGCCACATGCAGTGAGCTGAATCAGAAATAGGGTAGTATGGACTCCAACTGGCATATATATGTCATCATGAAATGTTTGGCAAGCATATGGTGCCACATGTCCAGCCAGCTGTCACAATAGCAAGAATGCAGGTCATGACAGGACATGGCTGGTCCTTCAGGGCTCCTCGGTCAAACCTAGAGGCTCCACTTCTTCAAAGAGAGGAGTGAGCGGCACAGGCAAACAGGAGTATGGTCCTGGAAGGTACTTCAAAGATTGTGCAGTTGTATGGTGGACGTGGATACAGAGAAAACTGGAGCTGAAACTGAGCTGGTTCAGGAACAGTCCCAGGAAAGGCGGAAGGGCAGGGAGGAGGCAGTGGCAGGGCAAGCTGAGCACACTCAGAACAGGGTCATGACTGGGAAAGAACAGGTGGCAAATGAAGTGGAGGAAGAGGAAGGCACCCAAAGCACTTTCAGGGAGACACACCTGCAAGAAACTGGGAGCCACCAGGGCAGTGAAGAAGGCACAGCTGAGGGGAGGAGAGTGAGTTGAGGGGTCAACCCTGAGCTGTGGACAGCAATCTGGCCCAGAAAATGACAGTGCAGCAAGCACAGGGGTCACTCGTGGATCCCGTGCACCAAGATGAGAACAAAGAATGCAGGTGACAGCATGTTTCCAAGGGCTGTGGCTAGCTGTAGCCATGGGATCTCCAACTGCATGCGAGAGCAACCTGGAGGGCCTTTGACAGCGCAGGCCAGCCCGTGCCTGCAGCTGCCACTCAGCTTTCCGATAGTGCCCGTCCTGGCCTGGCAGCCCTGACCTGGGGGGGTGGCTTGGTCAGCTCAAAGTCCTCACACACACCTGTTCTGCAGCGCCCCTCGTGGCACGAGGGTCCAGTGCTGCGGTGTGCTGCCATCTGGAGCTGTGCTTGAGACCACGTTACCAGTAACCCTGCCATGGCAGTGGATCTGCAGGGCGAAAACCTCCAACAGAAGAAGTGAAATGATAAAACAGTGAGCAGAGGTGGGGCTTTGGGGGGATATGCCCTGTGTGATGCAATAAAAGCTTTAGAAATGTGAAAAAAAAAAAAAGAATGCAGGTGGCTCTGTCTTAGGTATTCCATCTACTTTTTTTTTTTTAACTGAAAAATACTTTTGTTCTTATACAAATAAGACTTGAAGTACAAAATGAAAGAAAGGGGAAATATATTCAGAAATCACACTTAGGGGATGCTGAAGTCAGAGAAGTCTGAAACTTCAAGCTGGATAAAGTGAAAGAAATGGCCAAACCTCAACACCTTGGCACTACCCAACCGCTCCTCAGGGCAGGGGAGGGTTTTTTTGTTTTGGTTTGTTTTTTCAGAATTGAATGTGTTTACTTCTACAGTTTCATTCTGTTAAAAGTTTTGTGGCAAAAAATAGGAGGGGGAGAGGAAAGCGGATCCTATAAATAGTAAAGAGGGAAGCAGTGCTCCAGGGCCTGAAATAAGTGGCAAGACCCAAAAGGGGTCTCAGGAAAAGGTGAACCATCATAATATTTGTCTAATGCTAGTGCCAGCCAGACCCAGCCCACCTGCATACAAGCACATCAGAACAAGTGAGCCTGATATAAAGGGGGCAGCTGTGCTGAAAGGGGCAATCTTGGAAACTCATCTGCTAGCGAAGAAATAAAACAGGAGCAGATGTCATGGCCCAGCACGTTAAGACTCTACCTGCTGAGCCAGCATCCCACATTTCCACCAGTTCCCTCCTTGGAGTAGGAAAGCAGAGGGAGATACCCCTTTTCCCAACCCTCCCACCCTGCCAGTCCCCCACTCACCTGGGAGACCTGCTTCAGTCCTGGATGTTGGTAGGCATTTGGAGAGTGAACCAGCACATGGAAGACCTTTCTCTCTCTCTAATAAATGCAACTATTTTTTATGGTTACGAATAAATTAAAGTAAGATATGATGAAGAAAATACCTAATAATTAAAACCAATTTTTAAAAATGTAAATGGAAAATTTTCAGTTTTGAACTGCTCTGGCCAGCAGAGCCAATGACGTGGACAGGGGCTGGGGATGAAGCACCAACGGGAGACCAGTGATGGTAGAAGTCTCTGCTAAGTCTCGCTTTATTGCTCCTTCACCTCTCCTTATATACTCTTCCCCCCACATCCTCACTTAGCAGGATATTGGACACAGATACGTCCAACTAGTCTAGGTATTTTCAGCCACAAGCCAGTTCCTGTTCCTGCTCAGCCTAAGGAGCACTAATCACCTCCTCAGCCCACAACACTGAACAGGATGGAGGGTATGTGTATTTTTCCAAAACCATCACACACTGTAAGTTAAACACTGGATAAGAAGACGTTGAAAGGTGGAAGGAACACAGACTGGCTAGGACCCTCAGGATGAACCGAATAACACTGGAATGGTTTTCCTGGACCTTCTCTTCACTTCCTACCACCCATGACAGGTGCTGCAGAGGCTGGAAAGCCAGCAGCGCCAAAGGATACAGGTAAGAAGAACCCGAAGAAAGCTCTCCAGTTCCCAAAGGACCAGCAAGATGGAATCGTTTTAGACAACAACTGCATTACTCCAGGAGGAGTTGCTGCCAGCAGTGTGAGAAGGGGGTCCAGACTAGCCTGCATGGTGGCAAAGCCAACCAACGGCAGGGGACCAGGGCGTCACTGCTGCCCAGCAGCCACAAAGCCTCAGCTTTTCGAGACCAAATCATTGAAACAAAATGACTGAAGAAAATTCTCGAAGCAGCAAGGAAATGAAAGAAGAGGAATCTTGGCCCATCGGGAAGGAAGATGCAATAGTGAAAAGCACGACCTATGGGTAAACGGAGTGGGCTTTCCTCTCCTCTTGAATTCTGTAAACTGCGTCTGGCAGTTTGAAGTGGGAACATTTGTCTGAGGTGATTCTTGGTGGCTGATGAGGAAATATTACAGGAAAGATAAAGGCGGGGGGGAGGGGGACTACAGAGGCAGTTTCCACACTTGACTGGTCAGTGTGGGTACACTCTAGTACCAGTGTGGGTCTAGACGAGTTTTTTGTTTTGTTTTGTGTTTTAAACAGATCGCCGGGACGAGAGCCCGTGTGAGCAGTCAGCACACACTTCGTAAACCTGGTAGCCGCCAAGACAAGAGTCTTTAACTAAGGTAGAATCGGCGGAGCCGCCAGAAGAGAGATGTGCACCTGCCAGAGAAACTGGATGGTGGGGCCCACGCAGAAGGAAGGCAAGGGCGCTGGGAACAGAAGCGTCTCCAGCCCTGAGAAAGGGAGGTGACCGCCTCAAAATGATAGGGAAACTGAGGGAGTCGTGTTTGAGAGAAACCTGCTGAAGGAAGGGAGAAGTCCAGCAGAGGGAGATGAGGAGGGCTTGAGGCGCGAAAAGCAGGTCCGAGCACCCAAAGAATGACCTGAGACTATCAAGAGCTGACGACTCAAAACCTGTAAACTCACGAGCAGACCACCAGGTGGCGGGCTCTGAAGGAGGCCCTTGTATCCCATCGGCCCCGGCGTCCAGGGCGGAAGAAGGCGTGGAGGGGACCCTCTGGTTCGCGTCATTTTTTACTTTCCTATCCGGACTGACGTTGGACAACAAAGATGGCGGCAGGAACCAGCAACTACTGGGAAGGTGAGGGCGAGGCCTCCGGGTGGGTCCTCCGAGGAGCAGGGGACTCAGTGAGGACGCGGCTAGGAGGAGGTAGCGGAGGAAAGAGCGAAGGCTGCCGGGCGGCCGAGCTGGGGCGGGGCGTGTCTGGCGGGAGCCCTGAGGCCTGTGGACTGAGGAGACCGGTCAGGGCTGACTGTGCGGGGCGAGGGGGATCCGGGAGGGCTAGGAGAGAGGGACGGAGGAGACCGAGCAGGAGCCAGGCTGGATCCCGGCCGCGGGGTGGTGCGAAGCGCTGAGTGAGGAAACTCGGAGCCCGGGAGCCTGGAGGAGGCGACGGCCCGGAGCGGGGGTCCCTGGGGGGCACAGAGTGGGAAGCGAGGAAGGAGGCGCGTGTCAGTCCACGGAGGCAGGAGTGGCTCCTGCAACGGTGGGTTCCCACGTGGGTCCTCACGGCAACGTCAGGCTGGGGACTGGGAGAACCAGCCGGGTGTTGTGGGAAGGCGGAGAGCATAACTTTGCCTTCTGTTTTCCTAGAAAAGTTGAGAGAACGTTTGTGATTTGTAATGAAAACATTAGCCGTACCTCTTTCACACACACACACACACACACACACACACACACACAAACCTTGTTTTGACAGGTGCATCTATTGAATTCCTGAAAATACTGTCCGACAAAGCCTTTCTAAATTCACTCCTGAGCCCCGATGGTCCAGAAAGAGCAGAGAGCACTCACTTTTTCTCTCACCTGTCTTTATACAAATATAGGAACTGCTTTCTGAGTTCCAGTCCCATTTTGAGCTGTTGCTAACCACTGACACCTCTAGAAATTTGAGTTATTGCCCTTGTCAGCCATTTGGGCTAAACTCAGTTATAAGTTGTTCATTCATTTGTTCTCTCTCTCTTTTTTTAGGGTTTTATTTATTTGTATAAGGAAGGCAAATTTATAGAGAGAATAAGAGACAGAAAGATCTGTCTGCTGATTCACTCCGCAAATGGCAGCAATGGCTATTGCTGAGCCAGTCAGAAGCCAGGAGCCAGGGGCATCTTCCGGGTCTCCCAAATGGGTGCAGGGTTCCAAGGACTTGAGCCATCTTCCACTGCTTTCCCTGGCCATAAGCAGGGAGTTGAATCAGAAGTGAAGCAGCCTGGACACAACCCAGCACCCGTTTGGGATGCCAGCACTAGGTGGAGGATTGGCTTGCTACACCACAGCACCGGCACCTTTTCCTTATGTCAGCCCTTTTAACTTCCACTTTACTAGAAATACAAGTACTCATCTCCGTGTGTGTCTAGAATATGGTTTCTTTCATTCAGCTGCTAGGATGCCAAGTTCCCTGCCAGTTTATCTGATTACAATTACTTTAAAAAAAGAAAGTGTGTTCCTTCTCATCTGTGTGGAAGGCAGAGCAACTGGCAGGCGAGATCTTCCATCCTCTCTTTGTTCAGTCCCCAAGGCCTGCCGCAGTCAGAGCTGGGACAGGCTGAAACCTGGAGACCAAACTCCATCTGGACTCACCCCGGGGGTGGCAGGGGCCCCAGCACTTGAGCCATCATTAATCGCTACCTCCCAGGATGCATTAGCAGGAAGCTGGATCAGAAGTGTAGCACCTGGCACTCCAACCCATTTTTCCAGTGTTAAATACAGGTTTAACCTGTGCCACATTACCAACCCTGTTTGCATCCACTGTCAAAACTTAGTGCTTTCATTTCTGCTTTTCTTGCATGTAATCTTGTTGGTAGCATTTTATGATTAGCTTGAGCCTCTCACATTCTTTCAGTAAGTTTATTAAAATGCAAATTAAATGTTTTATAATGCTGGTTTATTTTTGTCATCCTCTTACTATTATTAAAAAACTTCAGAAGCCTAATCTTTCAAACATAAAAAGACAATGATAATCCTTGTCAGATAGTGAAGACTTCATAAAAAAATTATCTGTAAATTGCTATGATGCTAATGGTAAGCCACATTCAGTCTGTAATTGAATTATCATTTTCTTCTGAGTCACCAAGATTTAATTACTAGTATAGAAGATTTCAAGGATGTCAGAACATTTGTTATCCAGCTATCTTTGTATTAAATTTGCATGACTTATTGCTACATCTTTATTTATTTGCTTATTTAATTTTATTGGAAAGTCAGATTTACAGAGAGAAGGAAGAACAGAGAAAAATCTTTTATCCACTGGTTCATTCCCCAAAATGTCCACAAAGCCCAAAGCAGAGCCAAGCTGAACCCAGGAGCCAGGAGCTTCTCTTGGGTCTCCCAAGTGGGTGCAGAGTCCCAAGGCTTTGGGCTGTCCTCTACTGCTTTCCCAGACCATAAGCAGGAAGCTGGATGGGAGTGGCGCAGCTGGGACACAAACTGGCACCTCTGGTATCCCAGCACTTAGGGGTGGAGGATTAGCCATTTAAGCTATCAGGCTGATCCTGCTATTTTCGTGTTTTTTTTTTTTTTTTTGCTCCCTCTGAAGTTTAAATAAATATGTGACTGTTTCGCTTTGCTGAGTAAGTCTTTAGGTTCCTCTTTTAAGGAGGAGCTAGATTCGTATCTGCTCATTTTCGTAGTATGCTTTATTTTAAAATAATGATTATGGTTGATCAGGGTGGGAAGGATCAAGGTTTAGGGAAAATTGGGTGAACTCATTCCTTCCAGATTTGCTGTTTTTTCTTGTTGTTGCTAGGGGAAGGAGAGAAACAAAGGGGGAAACCACTCCTAAGTCTCCACACGTCCCAGTATCCAGGGGTGAGGACCCGTGACCTCATATCAACCCAGAGTCGTAATGTGTACACGTTCCAAGGGTTACGTGCAAGTGGCTTGGATAGTTCTGAAACACTGGCATTTTCACCGATCCGAGGATGATGTCTTGACAAGTTACACAGGGGCTAGCATTTGTTTCAGGAGTTAAGATATTACTTGGGAAGCCCATATTTTGTGTGAAAGTGCAGGTTCCTCACTGCATTTCACTTTGAGTTCAGCTTCTTGCTGGTGACTGTCCTGGGCAGCAGCTCGTGATGGTTCAAGTGATTAGGTCTCTGTCACTCACACAGATGGGCAACTGGCTTCCATCTAGCCCAGCCTCAGTTGCTGTGGACCTCTGGGCTGGAAGCGCCGTCTTTGTATCTACCTTTAAAAAAAAAGGTAGTATTGAATTTTGTCTGTTGATGGTTTTGGGGATGGATCTGATTATTTACTTTGATAATTTTGTTTAAGATCTCAGGAAACAAGCCAGACAGCTGGAAAATGAACTTGACCTGAAGCTAGTTTCCTTCAGTAAACTGTGTACGAGTTACAGCCACAGCAGTGCCCGAGATGGAAGACGCGACAGGTATAGGTACTACCAGATTCTCTTACACTTTAAACTTTATAATGTTTTTAAGCATTAAATGTTAAACTAAAATACATAATCTCTGTAACTTGATCTATTGGTGAATTTTTGGTGTTTAATTTTCCTTGTCATTGCTTGCTTTATCTTTATGGCTTACTAAAATCCTTTCTAATTCTTGAGACCACATTTATTTGGCATCCTTATGCAAAGATTGTGACAGAGTCAGAAGCAAACTGCTAAGACTTCAGAATGAATTCGTATCAAAAACAAGAGTTTCTAGCCTAGCTTTAGATTAAGAAAGTTTGGCTCATTTGGCCCCCTTATATTTCTTGTTTTCTAATTATTAAATAAATCTCAGGAAATGCTCCAATGTAAATTATTCCTACCATTCTTCTAGTATTTATTCTGTTAGAGTGAGTCTAATTCAGTCGGCAGCCCCACAAGTCATTATTGAAGATATTTTTAATTTTGACACTTTGTGGAGAAATCAGCTAAGTGATTTCCATATGTTCCATATGCTCACTATTAATCATACACCATTTTTTTTTTCTTTAGGGAAGACAGTTTGAAAATTAAAAAGATTAATGCACCCAGGTGCTTATCTTCTGTTTTAAGATGTGATCATTGTCGGTTCATCTGGAACCCCCTGGTGTAATCCCACATTCTTTCTCCTTAAAAACATAGACTTTTTACTACACATGTTTCTGTTCCTGAGAAATTTGTGCTATGCTGTTATAAAATTTACAATTTGCATTCTATCATTTGTTTCATGTATAATGCTTTTTTTTTTTTTAATTTTGACAATCTTTACATAGTTAATTGGAGTAAAAAGGTTCAAGGGCTACAGGAAAGTGGATAAGACTAGTATTTTTTCCATATTGTTTCCTTCATGTTTAAAGGGGGTATTAAGGGAGAAGGCGCACCCAATTTCCCATCCTCCCCAGGTCCCGGATGTAGGGCATGCTCTGAGGATCTTGCTCAAGTGGTTTTGATATTTCAACAGTTATGAATCGCTGCCAATCTTGCCACTCCAAGCACTATGAGGTCTTCGAAAAATCCATTGATTGACATAGTCTATCATAGCTGAGATGATTGGTTGACCTGTTCTATGTATAATGCTTTTATAACTCCTTAAAAGGAAAAATTATCTTAACAAACATTGTTGAAGGGGTCTGGCTCCCTGGTATAGAAGCTAAGCTTTCTCCTGCAGCACTGGCATCCCATATGTATGCCAGTTGGAGTCTGGAGTACCCTACTTCTAATCCAGCTTCCTGCCTGTGGCCTGGGAAGGCAGTAGAAGACGACCCAAAGCTTTGGACCTTGCACCCATGTGGGAGACCTGGAAGAAGCTCCTGGCTCCTGGCTGCAGATCGGCTCAGCTCTGGCCACTGTGGCCATTTAGAGAATGAACTAGTGGATTGAAAATCTGTCTTTCTCACTCCTTTGTGTAACTGTGCCTTTTAAATAAAAATAAGCCTTTAAAAAAATTTCCAAAGAAATTCTACCACAAATTAAAACCAACTTTGTAGAATTACTTCAGTACAACTATCCCTTGAAATAAAAAAAAAAAAACAAAAAACTAGGGGTTGGCACTGTGGCCTGATAGCCTCAGCAGCCACTTGGGGAGACCAGAGGATCAATTATATCTCTCCGTCCCCTGTAATTCTTCCTTTCAAGTAAATAAATAAACCTTTTAAAAATGGGGGTAGATTTGTTAAGCTTTGCTTCTAAGATTTTATCTTTAAAAAAGTTAAATGTCTATACAGATTTAAAAAGTGTAGCAGTGTTGTAAAACAAAATGAGATAACTGCATAGTACAAGCATAAGTTCAGGTGATTGCTGCTAAGACATGCATGGCTGTCTGCATGATAGCCAACTCGTGTTATTGAATAACCGGTTGTGTAATCTGATTCTTTAAATTAAGATCTAATGAGCCATAATGTCTTTGTAGTAGGATTTTTCAGATTATTTCTCATAGACCCCATAACATAATCCATAACACATTGTGTAACTCCTGTTACATGTTATATTTCTTAGTTTTGCAGTTTTATTTCACTTAGCTTAATTTATTTTTCAACTCTTTGGAAAATAATAAATAAGTATTTGGAATTTCTTTGCATTGGAAGGGATTGGAGTTATTAAGGTTTGGAAAGAGGTTATATCACTGAAAAAATACTCAATGATTATTATAGGAAAAATCCTATATAAATTATTTCTTGGGCCCGGCATGGTAGCCTAGTGGCTAAAGTCCTTGCCTTGCATGCACCAGGATCTCATATGGGCATCGGTTCGTGTCCCAGCAGCCCCACTTCCCATCCAGCTCCCTGCTTGTGGCCTGGGAAAGCAGTCGAGGATGGCCCAAAGCTTTGGGACCCTGCACCCACGTGGGAGACCTGGAAGAAGCTCCTGGCTTCAGATTGGCTTGGCTTTGGCTATCAAAGCCACTTGGGGGAGTAAATCATTGGATGAAAGATCTTCCTCTTTATATATTTTACTTTCCAATAAAAATAAATAAATCTTTAATGTATATATATATATATATATATTTAATTTTTTAAAAAATAAATTTGTTGGAAAGACAGATTTACTGAGAAAGGCAGAGAGAAAGGATCTTCCATCCCCTGGTTCACTCCCCTAATGTTCACAATAGGTAGAGCTGGAGTGATCCAAAGCTGGGAGCCAGGAACTTCTTCCAGATCTCCCTCGTGGATGCTGAGACCCAAGGCGTTGAGCTGTGCTCTGCTATTTTCCCAGGCCATAATCAGACAGCTGGGTTGGAAGTGGAGCAGCCAGGACACCAACTGGTGCCTTTATGGACTGCCTGCACTGCATGCTATGCTGCTGCACTGACCCCTAAAAATAATTTCTTAAGAACAGAAATGTCTGAGGTATTGTAAATGAGCTCTTTAAGTATACCTTATTGTTTTAAGCATGTTTTAAAGGACTGTGTTGGAGTAATGAATTCTGTTTCATTAAACTTCTCTAGCTCTGACACGACACCCCTTTTAAATGGATCAAGTCAAGACAGAATGTTTGAGACAATGGCAATTGAGATTGAACAGCTTCTAGCAAGGGTAGGTGCTTTCAGTTATTATTTTGCTAATAACTGTATTCTTGTTAGGATCCTGACTTACATTAATATAGCATGTTTATTGAAAGCATAGATTCATTCAAGACATGTGGCTCATGAGGCCACTCCAAATTTTGAAAAAATGTACTTTTTTTATGATATTTACATATTTGAGAAGAATGTATACCCATATGAATCACTGGTTAGGGTGGGAAGGGTCAAGAAATGGAGGAAAGTGGATAAGACAATTGCTTCCAATTCTTTTTCTTTCTGTGTCTGGGAAGAGAAGGGAGGAGGGAAGAGGGCTGCTCCCACAGCCTAGCAGCATCAGTACTTGGGCATGTATGATGGCCGCTTGATGTCAGCCTGGGATCCCTAATGTGGAGCACGTTGCAAGGGCACTGCTTAAGTGGTTTTGATAATTCTGAGATGCCGTTGATCTAGTTGCTCCAAGGTTATGGAAATCTTTCCAAGGTCCGTTGGTTTACATAGTGCACCCTAGATCTCCACTGGCCCAGATGCTTGCTATCCAAGCTTGGCTGGGAAGGTTGTTCAGTTTATTCTGCTATCTATGATACTAGATGTCTTCTGCAGGCCTCGATGAGCTGTCGTGTCCCCCATGTGCATCTGGGAAAGCTGTCCACTGTACAGGCTTCAGTAACTGAGGGGGTCCAGTTCTGGCAGACCACAGGTCCTATGATTTTCCTTGTGGTTGAAGTCCTGAGTCTAGTGGTCTAGTTGGGGGGAAGTCCCCAGAGAAGCCTCACCAGAGGTAAACCCAGACCTAACTCCTATGTGTGCCAGCTCGTGCAGGGTCCAGCTTAGTCCATCACCCACATCAGCCTACACGCACACTGGTGGTTGCTGTTGCCCTGTTACTTCTGCCCCTTACCCCATCAAATACGCAAACCAACAGATGCTGCAGCCCAGCCTAACCCTGCCCATCACACACCCAGCCCTCATACACTCTAGCGGGAACTGCAGCGCAGCGGGAGTGACCCCTAACAACCTGCACCGGGCCTGCCCCCAGAACCAGTTTGTACATGTGCCAGTCTGTCCCACATCCCATTCAGCTCTCATGTACACATCAGTGGGTTTTGGAGCCCAACTCAGCCTGACCAGTCCCACTATCCAGCCCATGCTCAAGCCAGTGGATACTAACACTTTTCTAGCTAGCCTGCCCCAAGCCCTGGTTCTCATGCTTACCAGTGGGAGCTACAACCTCTCAGGTGCCCACAGTTTCCCTACCAGACCCACCCCTTCCAAGTGGTACTACAGTCTAGCCTGATAGGACTTGTGCTCCCCACCCCGTGCCAGCCCTTGCCAGCTGATGCTTTAGCAAAGCCTGACCAACCTGCACTTTCTGATTTATGCATGCACTAGTGAATACAGTTGCTTAACCCAGCTTGGCTCTACCCCTAACCCAGCTCACATGTAGGCTAGTGGATTTTGTAGCCATGCCCAGCCTGTTCTGCCCCACAAGCCACTCAAATTTTAATGAGAATGGTTCCCATGTTGTATGGGTGTTAGGTTAGCTGTCTGGGGTTATGTGGAAGAAATGCTGAATCCTTACATATTACTCTATCTGTATTTTTTTTCTGTCAACTAAAACAGCATATAGACGTTTTTCTTTTTGTCATTATTAGTGCTTTCTAAAAGTATTTTTATTTTCATTCTCTCTAGCTTACAGGAATAAATGATAAAATGGCAGAATATACCAATAGCGCAGGCGTCCCCTCCTTGAATGCAGCCCTGATGCACACCTTACAGCGACACAGAGACATTTTGCAGGTAATACTTCGGGATTGAGGTTTTCGTTATCATAGGATGGTCTTTTTTTTTTTAATCCCTGCATAGGATGTATGCTAATGTATTTAAAAGAATGAAAAGGGGAAAATCTCCTGAGAAGATAAATGCCCTGCTACAGTAATGTGTTATTTTACTCTTTCTTTTGTCAGTATTATAAAATTCTAAAAATGTCTACTAAGTCTTGCATTTTCCTGGTGAGTTGAAGGTCTCAATCCATCACTACTTTAAGCACAGTGCTCTGAAAATCCTCATTAATTGACAGTGAGGTAGCCAGTGGTCATGTAGAGGCAGTAGCTACTGGTTTGGAGTATAATTTCCTCAAGCTCCAATGATAGTAATTTATTGTATTTTGTATCCTGCTTGAAGAAATATTACAAGTATAGCAATAGAGCTAAGCTTAAAAAAAAAGATTTATATATATATATATATATATATATTTGAAAGTCAGAGTTACAGTGAGAGAAGAGGAAAGAGAAAGAGAGATTTTATATGCACTGGTTTGATGCTCACATGGCTGCAGTGGCCAGAGTTGAGCTAGGGACTTCATCCAGGACTCCCACATGGGTGTCAGGTGCCCAAGCACTTGGGTCAAATTCCACTTCTCTCCCAGGAAATTAGCATAAGACTGAGTCAGAAGTGGAGCAGTGAGAACACAAAGCAACGCCCGGATGGGATGCTAGTGTCATGGGAAGCAGCTTTACCCATTGTACCAGTCCCAAATCTTAAATAGTTATGTGAAAAATATTAAAAGTACTGTAGTACAATGGTCAGAGTTGAGGCATAACAGATAAAAGCCACCACTTGGAACACTGGCAAACCATCTGGGTGCCAATTTGTGTCCGTGATGCTCCAATTCTTATCCAGCACCCTACTCATTGTCTGGGAAAGGCAGCAGAAGATGGCCCAAGTGATTGGGCCTCTGCCACCCATGGAGACCTATAGGGTTCCTAACTCAGCCCTGGGCATTGCAGCCATTTGAGGAGTGAACAATTAAATAGAAAAGTATTTTTCTCTCTCTTTTTCATACGAATTGGAAGGCAAATTCTTAAAAAAGATTTATTTTTAATGGGAAGGCAGATCAGATTCACAGAGACAAGGAGAGACAGACAGAGACAGATCTTCCATCCGCTGGGTTACTCCCCAAGTGGCCAGAGCCAATCCGAAGCCAGGAGCTAGGAGCTTTTCTCAGGTCTCATGTGGGCGCAGGGTCCCAAGGCTACTTTCCCAGGCCACAAGCAGGGAGCTGGAGAAAAATGGAGAGCTGGGACATGAACCAGCACTCTTATGGGATCTCAGCACATGTAAGGCAAGGATTTTAGCTGCTAGGCTAACACACTGCGTCCTCCTTTCAAATTTTAAAGTGAGTTTGAAAAATTAGAAATGGCCAGTGGATTTTCTTAATATTAAAAATATTTGCAGGCTTGATGCAGTAGCCTTGTGGCTAAAGTCCTTGCCTTGCATGCATCAGGATCCCATATAGATGCCAGCTTGTATCCCAGCTGCTCCATTTCCCATCCAGCTTCCTGCTTGTGGCCTGGGAAAGCAGTTGAGAATTGCCCAAAGCCTTGGGACCTGCACCCGTGTGGGAGACTCAGAAGAAGCTCCTGACTCCTGGCTGCGGATTGGCTGAGCTCCAGCCGTTGTAGCCACTTTAGGAGTGAGTCAGCAGAGGAAGATCTTTCTCTCTGTCTGTCCTCTCTGTAAATCTGACTTTCCATTAAGAATAAATATATCTTTTAAAAGTCTGAATGGAAAGATACGTTGTTTATCTAATACATAGATGTGTTACGTTGGAATAAAAGTTAACATCAAGTGTAGTAGTTAAGCCCTGAAGAATTACCATTGAAGAAAAAAGGCAAGGAGCCTTAGAATCGCCGGAAATTGTAAATTTGGGGTGTTAAAATTAGACAAGTAGTAATAAAAAATGGAACATAAATATTGGAATGAGTGAGGTAAAATTTCTGTTTCAATATAAGATTATAGTTCTAATACAGTCAAAAAAATTAGCAGAAAAGATGGGAGCAGGCATTTCAACTAGTGGTGAAAAGGTGTGCTTTACTATTACAGATTTATTTATAGAGAGAAGAAGAAACAGGGAAAAATCTTACATCTACTGAGGATTAGTCTGTTAGACATTGCTCTAGCCTCCCAGTTTGTGTTTTTTTTTTTTTTATGTTTATTTGAGAGGCAAATGTCTGCCACCATCAGGACAGAGCTGAGCTTGGCCCAAGCTAAGAACTGGAAACTTAATCCAAGTCAGTCTCATTAGTGGCAGGAACCCAATTAGCTGAGCCATCACTGTTACTTCCAGGGTCAGCGTTAGTGGAGATGAGCCAGGAGCCCGAGTAGAGCCCAGATGTGAAAGCTTGCCCTCTACTTTGTTACTGTTCTTGCTCACATTCATTTATTTGAAAGGCAGGGCCAGCATTGTGGTGTTGCACATAAGGCCACCACTTGCAATGCTGGCATCCCATATGGGTGCACGTTTGTGTCCAGGCTGCTCTGCTTCCCATCTAACTCTTTGCCAATGGCCTGGAAGAACAAGAGGAGATGGTCCTGGTACCTAGGCCCCTGCCACCCACATGGGAGACTTGGATGAAGCTCTTGACTCTTGGTTTCTGCCTGGCCCAGCGCTGGCTCTTGTGGTCATCTGGGGGTAAACCAATTGATAGAGAATCTGTCTCTCTCTCTCTTTCTCGCTCTCTCTGCAACTCTGACTTTCAAATAAATAAATAAATACTTAAAAAAAAAAAGATGGATGTAGCAATACAAAATCAGCTTATGCTGAGTCTGGATGTGGGTTTCTTGCAGGATTATACACATGAATTCCATAAAACCAAAGCAAGCTTTGTGGCAATACGGGAAAGGGAGAATCTGATGGGATCAGTGCGAAAGGACATTGAGTAAGTTATCTTTTATATTATTTTGTAGAATTTCCAGATTTAGCTTTACAAGATGTCTATGATTAGTTTGAAATGAGTAGGAAATCTCCATTTTATTGTTCTTTGAACATTGCAGCAGCAGCGTGGTCCTAATCTGCATTGTCAGTCTTCTGTTGGCCCTGATTTTACTGTTAGTTCAAAGTTCAGCTTAGATGCTCTCTCTCTTCCTGAATTCTCCTCTGGTCTCTACCCACCTGCTCTAAGAATCACATTACCAAGAGCTGAAGCTTTCCATGTTTCTCTTCCTGATTATTATCCATGTCCTGCACAGTAATTATATTTTCAGATAGGTAATTATCATAGTCTGACTTTGCCTTGAAGTCCTGAAATTTTCCCAGGTTTAATATGAACTCATAGACTCAGATGAAGTTATTTTAGGACTTTTAACATTTCATATTGATATCATTCCTGATGTGGTCATTTGCAGAGTTAAGTGAACCAGGAGATGGAGAATTTAAGATTTATTCTTTCCCTTTCCCTCTCCCTTGTACCATTTGTTCTTTCTGCTTTCAAATAAATCAATAAATCAGAAAAATAAGCATATTTATCTGTATCGTTTTTAGAGGGAAATGCAAAGGACTATGCATTTTAATTTTTCATTTGAACTGAAAAGGGGCCAGTGCCATAGCATATTAAGCTAGTAAGCCTCTACCCATGGTACTGGCATCCCATATGGATGCTGGTTCATGTGCCAGCTGCTCCAATTCTATTTAGTTCCCTGTTAATGTGCCTGGGAAAGAAATAAAATATGGCCCAAGTTGTTGGGCCCCTCTCATATGGGAGACCCGGAAGAGACTCCAGGCTCCTGGCTTCAGACTGGCCCACTTCCAGCTGTTGTAGCCATTTAGGAGTAAACCAGGATGTGAACCATATCTCTCTCTCTCCTCTCTGAATCTTAAAAAAGAAAAGAAGGGAGGGAGGGAGGAAGGAAAGGAAGTAAAAGAATGTAGGAAGAAAAGAAGGAGAAACTCAGTTAGTCACTCAGTCGGATTTAGAACATCTCTTCTCACCTTTTCTCTTCCCTGTGTTGTCCAGGTCATATAAAAGTGGGTCTGGGGTAAACAACAGAAGAACTGAATTATTTTTGAAAGAACATGACCACCTTCGAAAGTAAGTACTCAGTGTATAAGTGCTATTTATTCCCCATGTTTCCTAACTCATTTACTTATGTGACAAATGCCTTGTGATTTTATTAAGTGCGTTATTAGTTCTAGTTCATTTACTCTTCTAAACCCTGATTTGAAAGAAATAAAATTGCATCTGTTCAACTGGATTAGAAAAAAAAAGACTATGCTGTGAACACTTCACCTTTTAATTATTACCTAAAGTGTTTTTTATTGCCTTAATATGTTTTTCTTTTAGCAAGTCTATTGCAATATGCTTTTGTCCACTGCTACAGGTTGTTAGTGATAATAAAGATAATGGCTTCTTTTTAATGACCTGTCAACATTTACATGGGAAGAAGCTTTATAAAGGATACTTAGGCCATGCATCAGAATTTTTTTTTAAAGATTTATTTATTTTTATTACAAAGTCAGATATATTCAGAGAGGAGAGATAGAGAGGAAGATCTTCCATCTGATGATTAACTCCTTAAGTGACTGCAACGGCCGGTGCTGTGCTGATCCAAAGCTGGGAGCCAGGAACCTCCTCCAGGTCTCCCACTTGGGTGCAGGGTCCCAAGGCTTTGGGCCGTCCTCGACTGCTTTCCCAGGCCACAAGCAGGGAGCTGGATGGGAAGTGGAGCTGCCGGAACTAGAACCGGCGCTCATATGGGATCCTGGCATTCAAGGTGAGGACTTTAGCCACTAGGCCACGCTGCCAGGCCCCCATCAGAATTTTTTAGATGTTTTTCAGACATTTCAGAATAAAACACCTGAGAAATTGGATAAACTATTTCTTTTAAAATAAAATCATCATACTCTATTCCTTCTTCATCTGTTTTTCAGTTAAATGGATTCATTTCTTTGTTGTTTATTCTTTTTTTGTTGTAGAATGTAAGGACCAGAAAATTCTTTGAACTCCTAAAGCAGCTGAATAGCATTTGTATCCATGATTGTTAAATATTAGGGATTGCGTTGATAATTGCAACTGGTTGTTAGTCATGTCCTAAGAGCTTGATGCTCTGCTTGATTTCTCTTTCTTTAAAGATCAGAACTTGAAATGTAAGCTGTTGAAATGAAAACACTGAAACATCAAGGCCTTTTTAGAAGCCCCTGTGCTTTTCCTGTTGTAACAGCTGCTGTGTTCTTTCTTAATCTGTTACATGTGACAGAGCGGCACAAGGGGGCAGTCTCTCTTACTCTGTGTGTAAGAGGTAGTCAGTCCTGGCTTTGCTGGTGCTTTTTGTAGTTTGATCAAAACTATTCTAAAGAGAATTTTGCATATACCAAAAACTATCAATCTATGTTCTAGGGCTTCAGAGTAATTTCATGGATAATAGAAGATTGCATCAGATTGTTTCATGTTTATTGCCTCAGATTCAGCAGGCATATAGCAATTTGCGTTTTTTGTTTTGTTTTGGTTTTTGGTTTTTGTTTTTTTTTTGGTAAGATTTATTTATTTTTGTTGGAAAGGAGAGAAGGAGAGCCAGAGAGGAAGATCTTCCATCTGATGATTCACTCCCCAAGTGGCTGCAATGGCCAGAGCTGAGCCAAACCAAAGCCAGCAGTGTCCCAAGACTTTGGGCTGTCGACTGCTTTCCCACACCACAAGCAGAGAGCTGGATGGGAAGTAGGTAGGATAGCTGGGATGAATCAGCGCCCATATGGGATCCCAGCACCTGCAAGGTGAGGACTTTAGCCGCTAGGCTGCCGCCTCAGACCCCGCAATGTGCTTTTTTTTTTTTTAAAAGATTTATTTATTTTTGTTGCAAACTCAGGTATACAGAGAGGAGGAGAGACAGAAAGGAAGATCTTCGTCTGATAATTCATGCCCCAAGTGAGCGCAACGGTCGATGCTATGCTGATCCGAAGCCAGGAGCCTCTTCTAGGTCTCCCACGCGGGTACAGGGTCCTAAAGCTTTGGGCCATCCTCAACTGCTTTCCCAGACCACAAGCAGGGAGCTGGATGGGAAGTGGAGCTGCCGGGATTAGAACCGGCACCCATAATGGGATCCCGGGCGTGCAAGGCAAGGACCCTAACCACTGCGCCACCACGCCGGGCCCCATAATTTGCTTTTAAAGCAGCTCTTTGATGCTGAAAAAGTATACTGGAATTATTATATACATTATTCTTTATTTTATTACTTCACAACATATTGTGTGTTCTTTCATATATGAGTTTATCAAAATTTTGCATCTATTTTAATTAATGAAAATAAACTTGAGGAATTCATTATTTCACAGAAAAAAAATGAAACAATGCAAATGCATCTTAGATTTGTGTAGGGTTTAAAAATGAGTAAGATGGAAATCAAAGAATGTATTTTTTATTTTGTTTGATGTACAAGTTCTCAGACATTTTTATATAAACTTTGTTTTCTTTTCAACCTCCTAAATAATTTTACATGTTTATGTGTTCCTTTTTAAAATATAAGTGTATAAAGATTTATTTATTTTGGTTACCAAGTCAGATATACAAGAGAGGAGGAGAGACAGAGAGGAAGATCTTCCATCTGATGATTCACTCCCCAAGTAACTACAACGGCCAGAGTTGAGCCAATCCGAAGCCAGGAACTTCTTCCAGGTCTCCCACGCGGGTGCAGGATCCCAAAGCTTTAGGCCATCCTCGACTGCTTTCCCAGGCCACAAGCAGGGAGCTGGATGGGAAGCGGGGCTCCCAGGATTGGAACCGGCACCCATATGGGATCCCAGGCGTGCAAGGCAAGGACCTTAACCACTGTGCTATCGCACCTGGCCTGAAAATTTTTTATTTTTAATGCAAAGTTAGATTTACAGAGAGAAGGACAGAAACAAAGATATTCCATCCACTGGTTCACTCCCTCAAGTGGCCACAACAACCGGAGCCGAGCTGCTCCTTAGCCAGGAGCTTGCTCTGGATCCCCCCCCCTTGTGGATGCAGAATCCCAAGCCTTTTGGCCATCCTCTACTGACAACCCAGGCACATCAGAAGGGAGCTGAATGGAAAGTGGAGAAACCTAAACCAGCACCCATCAGGATCCCAGTGCATGCAAGGCGAGGATTTAGCCACTAGATTATTGTGCTGGGCTCTGTGTTCATTCTTTTTTAAAAGATGTTTATTTGAAAACTTGAGTTATATATATATGGGGGGGGGAGGGGAGAGGTCTGCCTTCCATTGGTCCACTCTCCAAGTGGCTGTAGCAGCTAAAGCTGGGTCAGGCTGAAGCTTGGAGCCTGTAGTTTCATTCAGGTATCTTATGTAGGTGGCAGGAACCCAAGCACTTGGGCCATCCATCTTCTGCGCCTTTCTCAGGCACATCAGAAGTAGAACAGCCGGGACTCTAACCAGTGCTCATTTGGGATGCCAGCGTTGCAAGTGGTAGCTCAGCCCACTGCTCCACAGAGCTGGCCCCATATGTTCATTTATACAGACAGAAACTGAAGAAGAATAAAGTTGAATGGAATGAGTTCTGATGAGTTCTAGGAATTGTGAGACTGAAAGCAAGACCTTAGCCATTGATCTCAATATTGGAACAGAGCCTTCAAATATCTTAACAAGCGATCAATCTTGGGGCAAGAAGACATTTAGCAAAGCTTGCAGATGGTTAAGCTGCTAGCACCTCACCTCAGGGTGCCTGGCTCTGGCTGCTGACTCCAGCTTCCTGCTAATGCCTGCCCAGCAGGTGGCCTCCGCGGCTAGAGGGATTGATTCTTGCAACTTTGGCCTTGGAAACCTGTGTTGAATTCCCCCAGCTGTTGTGGGCGTTTAGGGAGTGAAACAGCACGTGAAAGCTCTTCCTGCATCTGTCTCTGTCTCCTTTTTTTCTTCCCTCATTTTAAATAGTATTGTTCCCCAAATGACCACAAAACCAGGAGCTGAACTAATCTGAAGCAAGGAGCCAGGCACTTCCTCCATGTCCCCCATGCAGGTGTAGGGTCCCAAGGCATAGCGCTGTGCTGGACTGTTTCCCCAGACCACGTGCAGAGAGCTGGATGGGAAGTGGAGCACTCAGGACAGGAAGCAGTACCCATGTGAGATCCTGGTACTTTGTACTTGAAGGGGGAGGATTAGCCAATTGAGCCATCACATCATGCCCTGCCACTTAGATTAATTTCTCTTCCTCTGTATAAGTACTGTAATATTTTGCTTTTTGAAAGAGATATCTGAATTAATATTACAAAGTTCTTTTAACCCTCTAACTATAAGTTTTACATTTATTATCTTGAATCTTCATATTTATTTTGTCAAGAATACAAGTGACTATATTACTGACTTAGAGTTAGGAAGGTGAGAGATGGGTTGCCTCGACTCCTGAAGCATTGTGATTTGTCCAAAGTCTTGCTTTCAGTGCCTGAGCAGGCCTGAGTCCTCTTTCTCTAGAAGCATTCTGTCATTTTGAGTACAACATGTCTTCCACATAAACTATCACAAGTTGTCAGCTTCTGGAGCATTTCAGTGGTGATAAGAAGCTTGGATTACAAATTAAATGTACAGAAATAGGAGCAGGCTTCTTTAATGCCTGGCTGCAGGTCAGCACCCCATTCTTTAACTGCAGTCCCCATTGTCTCATCTATAAGATGAAATCTCCAACCCCAACATGTCGCTGTGACTAATACTGTTTATTTCTCTCTATAGTCACTAGCCTGTGTGTGATTTTTCTACTTGTAACCCGTCTTCCCACTCTTGCCAACCTGGATCTCATAGTGGATTGGTTAAAATAGTCCCAATAGTCAGGCTAGCTTATACCCTATCAAATGCCAACCTGATCATCAGTCTGCTCCTGTATTGGAGAGATAGAGGAAAAAATACCTGGTCTTACACATTGACCAGGTTTAAGTATTTCCAATCTTATCTGTTTAAGTCTCAAACCCATTCTCCTCAACAGCGTTGCCAAATCTCATTTCCACTTGTGACCTTCCTCTTTTTGCTTCAGATCAAAGGTACTTACCTCATCCTTCTTTCATTGAATATTTGTTTATAATTCTTTCTTTTTAAGATTTATTTATTTTTATTTAAAAATCAGATTT